TACAGTGGTGGTACAGTGGTGGTACAGTAGTGATACAGTGGTGGTACAGTGGTCGTACAGTGGTGGGACAGTGGTGGTACAGTGGTGGTACAGTGGTGGGACAGTGGTGATACAGTAGTGGTACAGTGGTGGTACAGTAGTGATACAGTGGTGGTACAGTGGTGGTACAGTGGTGGTACAGTGGTGGTACAGTGGTGGTACAGCGGTAGAATATGCGGTTGGCAGGACCTTGGTGGAGGGTTCAGAGGGTCGCCTCAGAGCCCTACTCACGATCTTCTCATTACCATTAATGTTTCTGCTAAGAATACTGTTACCGTTGTCCCTTGGCTGTACCATTACAGTAACCATACTGTTATTGTTCCAATTACAGTAACAGTGCAATTTTACGCAATACTTTGTATGTTCATAAAATACCCATATGTGTATTCACCTAGTTGTACTTGAGGGGGTTGAGCTCTGGCTCTTTCGGCCCGCCTCTCAACTGTCAATCAATCACTTTTTTTTCCACGCACACAACCCCCCCTTCTCCCCCCCCCCCCCAGGAAGCATCCCATAACAGCTGTCTAAGTTCCAGGTACCTATTTACTGCTAGGTAACAGGTGCATCAGGGAGAAAGAAACTCTGCCCATTTGTTTCCATCATAGCCGGGGACCGATCCCCGGTTGCTAGAATTATGATTCCCGAGCGCTGTCCACTCAGCTACCAGGCCTCCCTGTGTGTTAAAACACATGTGTCACTTCCTAAAAGACTCATATATACATAAAACACGTGAGCATGTAAATTCAAATACAACATATGTTTCAAAAACTCAAATTTTTCTTAATGAAACACAATTTATACATTCATAAAACACTCATGCATTCAAATAAATACAAAATTTGCATTTATTGTATATTCTTGGGAGTTTAAAAGGAGATTGGTGTTGATTGTTGGAGGTACTCTGGTGTTGATTGTTGGAGGTACTCTGGTGTTGATTGTTGGAGGTACTCTGGTGTTGATTGTTGGAGGTACTCTGGTGTTGATTGTTGGAGGTACTCTGGTGTTGACTGTTGGAGGTACTCTGTTATTAACTGTTGGAGGTACTCTGGTATTGACTGTTGGAGGACTGCTGGAAAACATTTTCAAAAAATATATGTGAGCTCAAGTTTTTAACATGTTTTTAAACATATTTAAATCCCATTTAACAACGAAAGTGGAGAATTTATGAACTTCTTTGCCACTTGGAGCAACCATGATTGAAAAAGTTTGATTGGACATTTAATATAATATTTGCTTTGTCAGATTCTAGTGATTCTCACGTACAAACACAATGGAGAAATTTAGAACCAAAATTATTGCTGGCCCTCTTCAATCTGCCCCTTGTGTTCTACCAGAAATAACTCAGATTCAAAGCAGCTCAATACAGTCGTATGGATCAGGAATTATTATATTTTTAATGGAAATAATCATCAGGTTCTGGAACAAAATGCAGCCGACAGAGTTGCCAAAACTCCTCACCTATGTATTGCAACACTGGAAATATAGTTCCATTTAATCCCACAACTTCAATATTTCCTCACAATATCATCACATTAGTTTCAAATTCCTTAATTCATGGTTTTTAGTGCCCCCCAAAACACACGCTTCCGCTCCATTTCCGGCACATAGTAATGCTTTTTGTTGTGAGAATTTGAGAAACAAAAAAATAGTGTTGTGGTTCATTCATTTCAGTTTCCCGTCTCGCAGCAATACGTGTTACTTGCAGTCTAAACAAAGGTTCACAAAAAGTTACAGCAGCAAAAAAAAAAAAAAAAAGAAGTCCATTACACGCACGCTTGGCTGTTTGTGTATGTAAAGATTATGTAGTTATGAACATGGAAAGTCCCGGATTGGAGAAGTGCTTTTGTGTAATAAATTTTAAATATTTTTATTGTACTATATCTGTTAGTACAATAGTACTATATCATAGTACTATATCTTAGTACTATATATATTGCTACACCATGTCCAACCACCTGGATTGGACGGTAGAGCGACGGTCTCGCTTCATGCAGGTCAGCGTTCCATCTCGCGACCGTCCAAGTGGCTGGGCACCATTCCTTCCCTCCGTCCCATCCCAAATCCTTATCCTGACTCCTTCCCAGTGCTATATAGTCGTAAAGACTTGACGCTTTCCTCTTAATTATTATATTATTATTATCGCTACACCATGTGTTTACCACTCGATTAAGGAAGTATTTAGCTTTATTAGAGTGAAATACTTTACCTTTCTTTTTAAAGCCATTATTGCACAGTTTGTGCTCAATTAAAATATGTTTTTGCAGTTTTAATGTTGCGGTTATAAAGTCTTATAATGGCGTTAAACTCGTACTAAATCATCTCGTGTTCCTCTTCTTCTTTCGAGAGTATAAATTTAGTTCTTCTTGGTGGTGTAAGTTCTGATCACATTCAGCTTGTTCTGATAAGAACAATTTTTCCATTATAGTGACAATCAGCTCGTTCAAATTTTCCGCGCAGATATCTCTAATCCTGTCTATGGAGGAGAGAAGAAAATGTATGTATGCTGGTTAGCACTGTAAATGTGTGGCCTCGTCTGAGGTATGAAAAAAATAATAATAAAAGATCCTATCCTCTAGATGTTCGTATAGATTTAGTGGTAAATCTTTTCTCTCACTTTCTAGATAATCTGATGTGCGTCTTATGCACGTAGTGAACAGCATGTTTTTTTTTAATTACTCCTTTATTCACGTTTGTGAAATCTGACCAAAATTTGCACTAATCTTGCTTGTGTCAATAATGTTAATTAAACGTCCACCGGTGAAACAAATAATTCCCCGTAGCATGGAGAGAATAAATGCATTATTTACGTAGCCTTTCTCTTTGCGGGACTCGTGCATCTTTGCGGGACTCGTGCATCTTTGCGGGACTCGTGCATCTTTGCGGGACTCGTGCATCTTTGCGGGACTCGTGCATCTTTGCGGGACTCGTGCATCTTTGCGGGACTCGTGCATCTTTGCGGGACTCGTGCATCTTTGCGGGACTCGTGCATCTTTGCGGGACTCGTGCATCTTTGCGGGACTCGTGCAATCTGTCTTAATATTTCTGCAATCTGCAACACTCGTTCCTGATTTGTTTCTCCTTGGTCAGATTTGCGTAACCCACAGAAGTAGAAATGTAGCGCTCCAGATAGTTCATTTGGAAAGGCAAAGAATAAAATTGCTTACAAAATACAAAATAAACTCAGGACAGTTTACTTGGTAAATACAGTTACTCATTCTTACAGTTATTGATACAGTTGCTCATTGCGACGTTTCAGGCCTCACCATTTTAAGTAGACAAGTGTTATTGACAATGTCGAATTGGTTCTAGACTGAACTTCTTCTAGATTTCTTAAGTAATGCTTCTCACAGGTTGAAAAATTACCTCTCCGAAATTAGTTTTGTACTTGTAATGGGCTTGATGCATATCGCTAAAGGATGTTTGTCCCTTAAGTATATCTTATCATCCTCGGAGACAGAGGAAGAGGGAATATAAATGGGAAGGGAGTTATCAGGGGGAAAGCGGCAAGTCATTACGACTATACAGCATCTGGAAGGGATCAGGATAAGGATTTGGGATGGGACGGGGGGGGGTGTAGGGCGGGGACGGGGGGAGGTGGAAGACGCATGATGGTGATATAAATTGATAGACGCAACAGAATATATATATATATTTATTACAGTTACGAAGATGGTTACAGTGGTTCACCTGTTGAGAAACTAAGTAATCTTGCTCTGCATCCTCATATGGTCGACCGTTACTATCTTCCAGGTGCTCTTTAATCAACGAAAACACCTTGGCCTGCACCATGGCCGCCTGCACCTTGGCCTGCACCATGGCCGCCTGCACCTTGGCCTGCACCATGGCCGCCTGCACCTTGGCCTGCACCATGGCCGCCTGCACCTTGGCCTGCACCATGGCCGCCTGCACCTTGGCCTGCACCATGGCCGCCTGCACCTTGGCCTGCACCATGGCCGCCTGCACCTTGGCCTGCATCTATATTTTGTGCAAGTCTCCCGTGGATTAACGTATATTAACAGCCTTCTCTCTAGTCAGGATCACACAGTCTGCCTCTCTCTGCTCGCTTTTCTCTCTCTTGTCATTGTGGCGAAGGATTTGAAGTTCAAACAAATATTCAACGATCAAGTATCTTGATCTGAGAATGCCTGCTTCCCAGGCATTCTCTTATTCCCTTTCTAATTATGTTTCCCATCTTTATAAACGTTATGACTGTCAAAGACATTGATTTATAGGTCAGGACCTCCAGTCTTGAAAAATGGCACTATCTTTGCTGTCTTCCGGCTGCCTGGTAGTTCTCCTGTCTCAAGTTGTACTTTTGTATTGGTATCAAAGGTAATATTCTGGAAATTTCTATAACCTATAATACTCGGATTCGTTCTCGACGCACAATCGAGAATTCCAGGTTCGAATTCCCGGCGGGACAGAAATGGTTGGGCACATTTTTTTTTTCACCTAGCAGTAAGTAGGTACTAAGGAGGTAGTCAGCTTGTTGTGAGGGTTGCATCCTGGGCGGGGTCAGTTATTCCACCTTGGGGGGGGGGACCTCGATATAAGCCTAACGAGAATGAATACACTCTGGCTTCCTGTCCCCCGACACAATGAATTATTAATATAACCTTTCCTGTCACTAGCTCTCCAATGTGCCTCAATGCTGACAAAAATTCATTGCATAATTAATTCCCTAGTTAAACAAAATACGATCATTATATGAATGTAAACTCCGAAGTGTATCTATTATAATATTTTTACAATTATAATTTACTAGTAATGGTAGAATTTGTAAATTGAATTTATACCCTCCCTTTGTGTGTCTAATAACCTGCCTACGGGTACTGTCTTGACCGCTTTTTACAGTCCCAACTCTGGGACGCTCTGGTATGCTCTCGGACGTAGGTTCGAATCCTCGTCACGGCCCTTGTGGATTTGTGCATTTAGTCCGAACTCTTCTTCCACAGGTCCGACCCGGTCTGTGTGGGCTGGGCTGGGCGGGGTGGCCAACCTGCCCTGCAACATGACCTCTCCGCTGCCTGCGGACCCGGCTCTCCTCGTCCTCTGGTACAAGAACGGCATCCACAAGCCCATATACAGGTCCGTGCCACTTTCATCATTAATTCCATATTTTGTTGTACTTGGCAAGGGAGTTAACAAAATAATCTTCAGAGTTACTTTTTCATTTATAATGGACTTGCTCTATGTCCCTAAAGGGGCGCGTTTCGCCAAAGTACACCTTTTATGATGGGAAATAAAAGTGATATTGTTGTTTTTCTAAAAAAGCAATCCTTTTTATCTATTATTATCATGTTATCCTGTTGGAGGGGAGATGCGTACCTTATAAGGTCACAGTTTCTAGAGGGACGTCCGGGCTCTCAGCAACGCACTGGAATGAATGAGTAGACGTCTCTATCAAACATAAATAAATAATATTCATGGCCATTATTAATATAAGTATCTTGACTCTCTGATTTCTGAAAAATTGTAGCTTTGTTTCTAGCTACACAACGAAATCAATTCAGCCCTTACGCAATTCAATTATATCACAACGTGTTCCCCTGTCCACTCTGCCAATGACATAGTAGCTCTTGGACTGCTTGGGTCGAATGGAACTTTCCCAAACAGGTAAGGAATGTAGAATGCTGCAGAACCAGGCATATGACCTCACGCTCGGAGGGTTGACCTGGCCTCGGACACGCCCTAGGAGAGAGACAAGAGACTTCACACCTCCGCCAAGTCTTTCTCAATGCACCAAACTTTTCTCTTGATTCCCATAACTGAATACGTGTGTACTCAATTAGCTGAATTTCTGCCTCTTGTATAATAATCACGACAGCGACGTACGATGGCCATCGCTGCGTCGTTGACCTCGTCACATCGTGCTCTATCCGACGATAGAAAACACAAAAGTCCTCACTGCCTGAAATTCAGTTTAACCTTGCACATGAGTGCACAAGACACTGTGCATTGTGTATACAAAGCGGCGAATCCACTCCAATGTCCACTCTAAATCTCCCACCTCTACCCCCTCTGTCTCCCCCGTCTCTACTTCCCTCTATTTAAACATGAACAACTCTAACCCCCCCCCCCCTCCATCCTTCTCCTCTTACCTCAAGGAACCTCCATCTCTACCCTTTCTCCTTCCTTCTTCCGCTCTCGCTCTCTCGCAGAAAATGTAAAGGCATCTAGGGATTCGCCCAGCCATTCTTCATCAATAATGAAGGGGAAATTGGGGGGGTTAGTGTCAGGCCAGACCCTCTCTTAATAGGAACAATAGGACTGACCTCAATCAAACTATGTCCGTTCCGTACCCAAAACCATTCACCCTGCAAAGTTGGGTGAGGCTAGCCCCAAGTAACGGGCCTCTAACCTCATATAGACAAACGGACATTCTAATATATATATATATATATATATATATATATATATATATATATATATATATATATATATATATATATATATATATATATATATATATATTGATTGTTATTTCTAACATATACAGTAAACGGCCAGATAGCGTTAAATAAATACTGTTGGAATATGTGATCAACAGTCTGGAGAACAATGTGAAATAAAAGCACCATAAACAAACAGAGAAAGCCCACTAATGCCAAGTATAAGTTAAACAATATTATTCCTCTCACAATATTTCATATTTATTAAAATATGATGAGCAATTTTCAGCTTTAGTGTTGCGTAGTAGCGTGTATGATTATCACTATATCATAGGAGCCATGAACAGCACTGGGAAATATATGTGCATGTGAAACATATATTCACATCTGAAAAAAAAAAAAAAATATATATATATATATATATATATATATATATATATATATATATATATATATATATATATATATATATATATATACATTGTTTCGTTTTTTGTCTTGTGTTTGTTCATCTCACCCAAAACTGTTGTACCTTATCACCTCACCCAAATGCATATATATATATATATATATATATATATATATATATATATATATATATATATATATATATATATATATATGTCGTACCTAGTAGCCAGAACTCACTTCTCAGCCCACTATGCGAGGCCCGATTTGCCTAATAAGCCAAGTTTTACTGAATTAATATATTTTCTCTAATTTTTTTCTTATGAAATGATAAAGCTACCCATTTCATTATGTATGAGGTCAATTTTTTTTTTATTGGAGTTAAAATTAACGTAGATATATGACCGAACCTAACCAACCCTACCTAACCTAACCTAACCTATCTTTATAGGTTAGGTTAGGTAGCCGAAAACGTTAGGTTAGGTTAGGTTAGGTAGGTTAGGTTGTCGAAAAAACATTAATTCATAAAAACTAGGCTTATTAGGCAAATCAGGCCTTGCATAGTAGGCTGAGAAGTGAGTTCTGGCTACTAGGTACGACATATATATATATATATATATATATATATATATATATATATATATATATATATATATATATATATATATATGTCGTACCTAGTAGCCAGAACGCACTTCTCAGCCTACTATGCAAGGCCCGATTTGCCTAATAAGCCAAGTTTTCATGAATTAATTGTTTTTCGACTACCTAACCTACCTAACCTAACCTAACCTAACTTTTTCAGCTACCTAACCTAACCTAACCTATAAAGATAGGTTAGGTAGGGTTGGTTAGGTTCGGTCATATATCTACGTTAATTTTAACTCCAATAAAAAAAAAATTGACCTCAAACATAATGAAATGGGTAGCTTTATCATTTCATAAGAGAGAAAATAGAGAAAATATATTAATTCAGGAAAACTTGGCTTATTAGGCAAATCGGGCCTTGCATAGTAGGCTGAGAAGTGCGTTCTGGCTACTAGGTACGACATATATATATATATATATATATATATATATATATATATATATATATATATATATATATATGTCGTACCTAATAGCCAGAACGCACTTCTCAGCCTACTATTCAAGGCCCGATTTGCCTAATAAGCCAAGTTTTCATGAATTAATGTTTTTTCGTCTACCTAACCTACCTAACCTAACCTAACCTAGCTTTTTTTGGCTACCTAACCTAACCTTACCTTTAAATATAGGTTAGGTTAGGTTAGGTAGGGTTGGTTAGGTTCGGTCATATATCTACGTTAATTTTAACTCCAATAAAAAAATTGACCTCATACATAGAGGAAAGGGTTGCTTTATCATTTCATAAGAAAAAAATTATAGTAAATATATTAATTCAGGAAAACTTGGCTTATTAGGCAAATCGGGCTTTGAATAGTAGGCTGAGAAGTGAGTTCTGGCTACTAGGTACGACATATATATATATATATATATATATATATATATATATATATATATATATATATATATATATATATATATATATATATATATATATATATATATATATCGTACCTAATAGGCAGATGTCCATGTAATTTCTAATATGAATTTATTTGAATGCTTCAAACATTGCATACGACCCTGTTAGAGACCATTTATGAATAGAACTTAGTTTCTCTTTATTGACCTTAGACCTTGTATGTTGGAAACAATATAAGTATTTCCTCTTTTTTGTGTGTTTTATTTTGATTACATATTCATCTCGACTCAGACCGTCTAGTGATTTTGGAATTCATTCACTTAATATTAGTTTCTGTCCGCTTGTTGTGGAGTTTGTTGGAGTGCAGTAGCAGTTGGAACTCTAGTGAGTTCGCGCCTAGGTTGACTGTTCCAACATTATGCATTCCCCTCTTCCTCCTTTTTTGAAATCCGATTCCATCTGGGTATAAACTGTTATCTAACTTTTTTCTTCGGAATTTTCGGCTTTCCTACGTTCCGTGCCTTTTACACGAAATTTTGGACAATATAACTCATAGCATTTATTTTCATCTAGTGAGGACATACATATTCACGAGTGGAAATACCTACAACGTTTTTTAAATTACAAACTTAATTACATTATCCATTTCTGAGAATATTTAGGCATTTTTGGGGCAGTGCGTAACTGCATTCTATGCGTCTATATCTGCATACTCCCCTAGTGAAGTATTTACATACATATGCCTTTTAGTCATTCTCTGCGATACAGTTTCTGTTACGTCACTGCCTGTACTTGAGCTGTCTGCTACGTTTTCTGTTGTGTCACTGCCTGTAATTGAGCTGTATTCCACGTTTTCTGTCGTGTCACTGCCTGTAATTGAGCTGTCTGCCACGTTTTCTGTTGTGTCACTGCCTGTAATTGAGCTGTATTCCACGTTTTCTGTCGTGTCACTGCCTGTAATTGAGCTGTCTGCCACGTTTTCTGTTGTGTCACTGCCTGTAATTGAACTGTATTCCACGTTTTCTGTTGTGTCACTGCCTGTAATTGAGCTGTATTCCACGTTTTCTGTTGTGTCACTGCCTGTAATTTAGCTGTCTGCCACGTTTAACATGTTCTTAAGTTGTTAGTATCTCTTGTACTGACTGGATATGGCTGTATTGTTTTCGTGGGTCATGTGTGTGGTGAGCCATGTGTGTGGTGAGCCATGTGTGTGGTGAGCCATGTGTGTGGTGAGCCATGTGTGTGGAGGGCCATGTGTATGGTAGGCACTGTGTGTGGTAGGCACTGTGTGTGGTAGGCACTGTGTGTGTGTGTACATTTCTGGGTCACGTTCGTGGATATTGTGCCTAGGTCATTTGTGTGGTGTATGAGGCCGGTTCACATATGTGGAGCATGTGCCTGGTTCGTGTGTGTGGAGAATATATCTGTGTCATGAGTATGGGGCATGTCCCTGGTGCATGTGTGTGTGGAATATGTCTCTAGGTCATGTGTGTGTGTGTAGAATAATGTCCGTAGGTCATGTGTGTGGAATATGTCTCTAGGTCATGTGTGTGTGTGTAGAATAATGTCCGTAGGTCATGTGTGTGGAATGTGTCTCAGCGTCATATGTGCGGAACATGTGTTTTAAAAATACTTTTAAACTTGTTAGGATAACAAACATGAAAAAGTTGTTTCGATACAAGAGAAAAGCTCATGGCCCAGTGTTTTACATTGTTCATTTTTCTTTTTACCACAATGCTAATACAAGCTATTTTTATTTAAATTTTATTCGTAACTGGTCACAGATAAACCAGAGAGAGAGAGAGAAAGAGAGAGAGAGAGAGAGAGAGAGAGAGAGAGAGAGAGAGGGGGGAGGGGAAGGAAATTATCAAGGGAAAGCGCCAATTGGAAGGGATCACGATAAGGATTTATAATGGGATAGGGGAAAGGAATGGTGTCCAACCACTTGGGCAGACGGGGATTGAACGCCGACCTGCAGGAAACAAACCCGTCGCTCTACCGTCCAGCCCAAGTAGTTGGAGAGAGAGAGAGAGAGAGAGAGAGAGAGAGAGAGAGAGAGAGAGAGAGAGAGAGAGAGAGAGAGAGAGAGAGAGAGAGAGAGAGAGAGAGAGACAGAGAGAGACAGACAGAGAGAGATATGTTGCGCGATATAAAGAGAAAGAGTAAAGCTTAAGGAGGGATAATGTTTTAATCCTCTTGAGAACCAATCTTAATTTGTCGTCGACTTCCAACAGTTCCTTAAAATATATAGTAAGACATTCCTACATGTAAACACGGAGACTGCATTAAAGAGAAATCTCGCTAATACGAATTTTAAAGGAGCTATTTTTGTGTGCTTACAAAAAAATGAAGAGTATAAGAATATCGTAATTACGGAAACTGCAGAAAGCCTATTGGCTTATAGGAAGCAGTTCCTATTTATATCCTACCACAAGATGAAGAAACGTCGACGTTTCGGTCCATCCTGGACCATTATCAAGTCGTATGTGACTTGATAACGAATAGTACAGGACGGACCGAAATGTTATCGTTTCTAGTTACCATAACGCAACCACATTCCAGGAGGATGGTTTGGGTTAATGTTGAAATAACTATTCCCCTTGACACTATTTGTTGCCGTTGTTCGTCTCATTATCAGCCTCAGAACTGTTGTTTTGACTGTGGGTATTTCTGTGCTTCAGTTTCGACGTGCGGAGCGGCCCACCTTCCCACTGGAAGATCCCGTCTCACCTGGGCCACCGGGCCACCTTCCACCCGACCACGGCCACTCTCACACTGCAGAGGGTCGAGGCTGAGGACCACGGAACCTATCGCTGCAGAGTCGACTTTAGGGTCAACCCCACCCTCACCTTCACTACCAACCTCACTGTTATTGGTAAGTTCTTGATCCTACCTCTCACCTTCACTACCAACCTCACTGTTATTGGTAAGTTCTTGATCCTACCTCTCACCTTCACTACCAACCTCACTGTCATTGGTAAGTTCCTGATCCACCCTCACCTTCAATACACTGTCCAGAAGGAGATGAGAGACTCCTAGGTAACGCCCTCAGTGCTGTGTGGTAAAACCCTCCCAGACTCTTCCCCCTGAGCCTCCACCTCACATGATTGGAACATGCTCTCAACTTCCACTTGGCCTGATCTGATCTGCAGTGTGTGTATTTTGCATAATTTCACGAGCTTGTTCTTGCACTAGCCTGAGTACGGCACATGTGTGTTGAGTCCCTGTCCAAACTATGGAGATAATGAGCTTGGAGAAGTGGCATTGGGATTTACATATTAACACCAGATATAATGTGAGCAGAAATTATGAGATTCCTAAAAGCACACGACGGCTGAATATGATCAGGTTCTCTTTACCTCTCAGCCGTTAGAATCGAGCACCCGTGAGAACTGAAGAATTCCACATCTCCACTCTACATGAAACTTTTGTATCAAAACTAACCAGCTCTTCTCCTCTGAAACACTCTCCCAACTGTAAGAACGTATACTTCCTGTACTCTGGGCGACTCCACACCTGGTTTCATCTGGCCCCCGGCATGACCTTGGTAACAACAAGAGTGCATACCTCCATGCTATTCTTGGCCGCATAACAGTCACGTGTTTTTATATACAACATGAGGTTCGCGCCCCAGGAGGTTCCTCACCGATCATTATATCCATTTGATAAGGAACTGATGGCCGTCCTCCCCTCCGCCCCAGTCATATTACATTACAATTAGCCACGAGTCATGGAGTTCTCGGAGACTCGGGGGACAAGGACAAGAACTATAACTTTTTGTCTTCTCTCTGCGGGGGCGTCTTAATGCTCTCACTATCTCCCAGGGGATAGGAGGATTGTCAGGGGAGGGAGAAGGCTTCCTGGTCCCTGGAGATGGGAAGGTTGTCTGGGGAGAGAGAAGGCTTCCTGGTCCCTGGAGATGGGAAGGTTGTCTGGGGAGAGAGAAGGCTTCCTGGTCCCTGGAGATGGGATGGTTGTCAGGGGAGAGAGAAGGCTTCCTGGACCCTGGAGATGGGAAGGTTGTCTGGGGAGAGAGAAGGCTTCCTGGTCCCTGGAGATGGCAAGGTTGTCAGGGAAGAGCGAAGGCTTCCTGGTCCCTGGAGATGGCAAGGTTGTCAGGGGAGAGCGAAGGCTTCCTGGTCCCTGGAGATGGCAAGGTTGTCAGGGGAGAGCGAAGGCTTCCTGGTCCCTGGAGATGGCAAGGTTGTCAGGGGAGAGCGAAGGCTTCCTGGTCCCTGGAGATGGGATGGTTGTCAGGGAAGAAATAAGGTTTCCTGCACTCAGGATAAATATGTCAGGGGGAAAGAGAGGGGAAGCGAGATGTGTGTTAACTGGGGACATGTAACAGTGTCCTCCGGGGGTAACAAGCGCTAGTCAGGAAGGAAAGGTGGGAGCAGTTTCCTTTCTTTCCAGCTAAGTTATCTTGAATGAGACGTTGATTCTCTCTCTCTCTCCCTCCCTCTGTTTCTCTCTCCCTCCCCCTCTCTCTCTCTCTCTCTCTCTCTCTCTCTCTCTCTCTCTCTCTTGATTGTACAATCGAGAATGCCGGGTTCGAATTCCGGGCGGAACAGAAATGGTTGGGCGCGTGTCCTATCACCTAATGTTCCTATTCACTTAGCAGTAAATAGGTACCCAGGAGTTTGTCAGCATGTTGCGTGGTTGCATCCTGGGGCGGGTCAGTGATTCGACTCTGGTGGTGGAAAAGGACCCTCGATATCAGCCTAACGTCTACAGTATATATATACTGGCTGCCTGTCTCCCGTCACAATGAATTATTATTAGGTTGCATTTCTCCATGTGTTATAACCTAATGATGGATCCGAGAGTCTTTTACGTCTAAAATAGAGTCTTCAATGACGGATATCTTTATCCTTATCCACAAGGATTTTAAGACATTATTTTAGCCGAAGAGCAATCACTTGTCCAAATTATATTTTATGAGATATCCGAAAAAGTTACTTGAAGCATTGGGCGAGGAGTCAGTAATTCTCTCAGGTAATTAGTACAGTCTCGCACACAGGAAATTACTTCTAGTCCCAGGAGCCTCCTGAGGCAGTTGGGCTTACTGCTGCCTCGGAAGTCTACAGAAACTTTTCCTCTCAAGTGTAATAGTCGATAAATTAGCTGGAATATTATATAAGACACTGCTACTGGAAGAAGAAGACTTCTGCAGTGATATTCCTCTTCACGCTGCTACTGCTGCCTCGCCTCACGTAGTGGTGAAAGCAAAAAGACTGACAATTATGTGAGCCGTGTGCCAGGCGACTTAGAATCATCTTGGCATGAACGCAACGAATGGCGTTCCGCTGTTCGTTCTGTTGGGGGAAACTGTGCTGGGTGAGGCTGAAGCTCCTGTGTTCACGAGGACGCTAATATATACACAGGATGAAGGAGAAATACGCCTGGAGGTCACGCCCCAACCACGTGGAGAAGAACACCGATAAGACTAACGTGAAGTTAACGAGCTGACAGTTCCAGCCCCGCTCCTGTGCCAGGTAAGTCCACTAGGGGCTTACCATAGCCCGTGCTACTTGCAACTTTTTGTTCCCAGTAGCTGAATCTATAACAACAACAACATAACGAGGCTACAGAATCAACGCTGTTTTGCGACATAATTTACCGGCGAAAGTTAGGAGAGAGAGTTATGGCAGCATCGCCCAGCCGCCACACACCAGATTCGCTCTTCCTCGCATGTAGAGTTATTATCAGCAAGTTCACTTGTTTCAGTAAGTAGCACAATCTAATGGGCACACTAGTATCATTCTGATGGGCACACTAGTATCATTCTGATGGACACACTAGTATCATTCTGATGGGCACACCAGTAGCACTGCGATGGGGATACCAGTAGCACTTTAATGGGAACACCAGTAGGACTCTGATGGGGATACCAATTGCACTCAGTAGTGGATCTGACGTCGTTGATGGACTTTTTGGTCTGGGTCAAAAGTCTTTTAGCGGTCTTAATTAAGAATATTTGCCGACGGCGCTGCAGACTCCCTTCCTTAACTAGGGGGGCAGGAGGCACCTTAGAGGAGGCTCGTGTCTTGGGGGATATAGAGCACCTAGGGTATAGAGACAGATATTTTTAGACCTATGGTATTCGGGAAAGATTCTAGCGAGGTCGGACGTTAGTTCTGGGGCTCGCCTCTAAATGTCTACCATTGTAGATTCGTAATTATTCATCCAAAGCACATTTAATTTAAAATAGTTATTGTCAGTTAAGAGGATTTAGTTCTTGGGCTCCGGCTCTAGCTCCAGGACCCGGTTCAGCGTTGTAATTTCGTAAGTATTCATATGATATAAATGAAATTTGAAATATTGATAATTTGGATTAAGTCTGTGAACAAGAGTTAGTTCTTGGGCTCCGGCTGTAGTTCCAAGTCATAGTTCATCTTTATTGTTTGACAAACGTCGTCGCTCCAGAATTTTGGGGTAAGAGCCTTTGGTTGCCATAATTTGTAATGTGCAGCGAGGTCAAGTGTCCAGTAATCTTATATATTGATGCTTATATACATTAATTAATCATGCATATAGTGATTATGAAGTGATATTAAAGAATAAAGATGAAATAGCATAATGTATAATCACTTGTGATATAAAAAGAATACTGACATATGTATATGTATTTGTGTACATGGATGTATATATATATATATGTGTGCATGTGTATGTAATATTAACAGTTGTGTAACTAGCCTTATAAGATTGTCACTTGCTTATCTAAACGAACTACGGGCTTCAGTTCCTGAACCCCGTTATGTGCCTCTGTAACCCTTTCCACCACCGCCCACGGGATGGGTATGGGGTGCATAACAAAGGAATGAATAACAACTCTATCCTTCAGTAATGTTGACAACACTCACCAAAACAGAAATGCCATTTGTGTTGTCTGCAATATAATTCTATACCATTTGAATATAATTAACATATCTCCACTGCACTCACTAATGTGAATAATTATTATTCACTAATTATTCACTCCGGGAATTTAAAGCTTCACGCCTTTAATGTAAAGGTCGTAAACGATCCGCAAATAATATTAATAATAATAATAATAATAATAATAATAATAATATAATAATAATAATAATAATAATAATAATAATAGTAATACTAACAGGCAAACAATGGGTGTGAGGTTCTGGGCCGGGCTGGTAAACAGTCCCGTCCAAGTCTTGAGGAGCAGACGGGAACCTCAGCCTGTCTACGGAGAACCGTCAATAACCCACAAGCGTATTTGTTACTAAATACGTAATAAAATGAAATACGTCAACCCATCTTAAGAGGTCGATGATTCTGAATATTCTTATCCAGATCCATCGATTTAATCCAATATATTTCTGAACTTAACCAAACACCTCGTCTGGATAGATTTAGTTTCACTGTTTAAGAACTCTCACTACGCTCAACCAAAATGTTTCCGCCAGTTGGGTCACCTCATTATTGAGCACTTTATTAAAGGCGAGCGTGTCTCAATGTTGCCTCAACGTTGCCTCAATTGTGCCTCAACGTTGATTCAACGGTGCTATAACGTTGCCTCAACATTGTCACAATGTTGCCTGAACAGTGCCACAATGTTGCCTCAACAGTGCCACAATGTTGCCTCAACATTGTCACAATGTTGCCTCAACAGTGCCACAACGCTGCCTCAACATTGTCACAATGTTGCCCCAACATTGCCACAACGCTTGCCAATAACGTTGTCATGCGTTGTGTGCTCCGCGAGAGCTTCACAATGTCAGTAATAATATTCCGCAACACAACAACACTTGCCAAGTGTTCTTGTCAAGTGCGGAATATTATTATTATATTCAAGTGCATGAACATCACCATGTTGTCAAGTGCGCAACATGGTGGGCTTAGTGCACTTGTTCCTGTTCTGGAGGGGACGGTGTTGTTAACATTATGTTTGTGTGTGTGTGTAGTTCCCCCGCGGCGCCTGGCAGTGTACACGGAGCTGGGCGTGGAGGCGCGCAGCATCGTGGGGCCCTTCGCCGAGGGTGACACCCTTCGTCTCACCTGTCGCGCCTCGGGAGGGTCGCCGCCCCCTACTGTCACCTGGTGGGAGGGCCCGGTGCTCCTGGACATGACCCCGGAGGTCGAGACCCTGGACCAGGTGACTAACACGCTGGTGGTGCCCTCACTCTCCCGGCGGGATCTGCACCGGACTCTCACGTGTCAGGCGGCCAACTCCAACCTCACCGCCCCCCTCGCCACTACCGTCACCCTCGACATGAACTGTGAGTCTACACACGCCTTATATATTATGTTCCTCCTCTCTCTCTCTCTCTCTCACTCTATATTATATTGCTCAACTTATTCACCTTCACGGGAGATCTCCCGTCACGCAGGGTGCAGTCGCACCTCCACAGATCTCCAGTATCTATTGATACTGGTAATGGCTCAAAAGAGCCACCACTTACGGGCTATTCATGCCCGTGCCACCTTCTGGGTGGCTTAATCTTCATCAATCATCAATCTTATTCACCCTCATACTCTGTTTACTCGCTGCGAGCCACGTTACTGTGACTCACCGTCTCCATTTCTCCGTGGATTGAATACTGGATAAGGTCAGCAGACGGCCTTGGGGAACCTCGATAGCAGGCTTCTACATGCAGAAAACAGCAGAAAAGATAGCACAGCAGGCTTCCTGTCCCCGGCTCTGGGAATCATAAGGTGACCAATAACACTGGACTTCGAGGTGGATCCACATGCAAGGCAGGTTAAGGTAGGACACGGGCTTCCTCCACGAGAACAGGTTGAAGTATCTCTTTCTGTTGGAGGAGGAGATGTGAGTTTGGTGTTACAGTGCGTTAGGGTGCCTGAACATGAATATAAACAATGGCCTGAATAAGACACAACCCGCAACAATGCGTACAAGCGGGATACAAAAAAAAATCCCCCGTTATTTTTGCAGGGGAATAGAGACGAACTGATTTGGGAATAGGGTTTTGGGTGAGTTAAATTTAGCTACAATCTGTTATTATTGAGAGGAGCAGTTTCATATATTTCAACAGCAGATTGGATACGTGTGTGTGAATGGGGCTGATTTAAACGGGACCCGCCTGCTATCAGCCAACAGGCCGACTGCGTTGCTCCCTTATTTTGTTCCCTTATATTTTACACACATTTACATTTCCAGCATTCATCAGTTACCTCATGTCCTACTTTCTCTCAATTTACAGAGACTTCCCTGTCCATATTGCCTATTCCCGTTGTCATGTTTAGAACAGACGATTCTTCCTGTTGTCATATGCCACTGCATTTCACACGCTACCAACGGAAGCAGCAAAAGCAGGATGCCCAATACGCCAGGCACACTGGCCATGTATCAACACAAGGATCAATGAGAACAGCCATGTAAGTGGACCTTTCCATCAACCATCAGCCCCACGAAACGCACCACTGGCCGCGAGGACAAGAGTGAACGCGGGTAATCTCCAAGCAAAACAAGATGGAAGGTGATGTTCTCTGGCCAGCGGGGAAAGCCCTAATAGAAGAAAAACAACGCATCGTCTGTGCTGACCGAATCTGTGTGCTGACTGACGCTGTGTGCTGACTGACGCTGTGTACTGACTGACGCTGTGTGCTGACTGACACTGTGTGCTGATTGACACTGTGTACTGACTGACGCTGTGTGCTGACTGACGCTGTGTGCTGACCGACGCTGTGTGCTGACTGACGCTGTGTACTGACCGACGCTGTGTGCTGATTGACACTGTGTACTGACTGACGCTGTGTACTGACTGACGCTGTGTGCTGACTGACGCTGTGTGCTGATTGACACTGTGTGCTGACTGACGCTGTGTACTCACTGACGCTGTGTACTGACTGACGCTGTGTACTCACTGACGCTGTGTACTGACTGACGCTGTGTACTCACTGACGCTGTGTACTGATCAGTTACGCGTACAAAACAACGCTCTGTGCTGCACATTTCTTCATGCTGAAAATTGTTTGTGCTGATCATTTCTGCGCTATTTGCTGAGTATGCTGTGAAGTGTCTGCTGTGGAGACACTGCTCAAAACGCCATAAAAACGCTGCTGACACATGCTGATCTGCTGCGGTTCGAAACAAGTCTCTTCACAAGGCTAGGCTAAAGGTCAAGTTGCAGCTGTATTCAGCATTGTTTTTTTTCATTTAAATTTATAAGCGATCAGAAATATTAAAGTAGTTACGGTTAATTGTTAAGTAAGATACTCAGCGCAATAAGTGTCTATAATTTTTTGGGACTTGTAATATGATAAGTTTATACATAGACAGTTAACATGTTAAAGAGTAACTTGTTATTGTGGTGAACCGAAATGCGAAAAAAAGCTTGAAATTTGCTAACAATTTCCGACATCAAAAGTGCTGAAAGAAAAAGGCCCCTTGTACTTAAACGCTCTGAAAAAAAACTGGTATTGATAGAGATATGTTGAACATTTTAAGCCTAGACTGAACAATGTTAGGGGGAAATCATTCATATCAGGAGAGGCAAACAACTCCAAAATAAAACAGTTGATCAGTAGTGCACATGTACACAGCTGCACAGTGTGAGTTTGCTCGAGTTGATGAGGAAACTGAGGCGCCGTGAGAGTGACTGGAACACTCACAATCACACGTCACCGTCGAAGCCCTCGAGAACCTGGTGATGATGAAAGTGCTCTCACTAATGTACTTATCACTGCTCGTCGCACGGAAGATGTTTCATGTGATGACTCGTAGCGTGGAGTACGTTGTCAACAACGGTGACAGCAACTGTGAGCACTTCATGTTATGTCTGCTCGGGGCATGATGGTCACTGACCACAGGCTGCTGAAGCCTATCTTCAAAACTCCGTAGCCAAATCCAGCCGTGCACATTGAGAGATGACCTCTCCATCTGCAACCACACAACTTACTGAGAAGCACAAGCTAGCAAGCTTACTGACTGCATCAGTCGATATCCTGTCAACACCATTACTATTATTACCCATTAACCTGTGATACAGTACCAAAGGCGCTCATTCGTGACCAGTTCCGAACTGCGGTCCTACAGGACCCATCGCTTCAAGCAACAGTGGATACATTTACTAAGTAAAAGTGTCCATGTAACCCACCCTCAGGAGTGGCCCAAGATCCGTTCAAATACGTTACGTACTCAGGGAGTTCATTGTTCCTCAGCAATCAGACCCCGTGTTGTAAGGTGATCGGAGAGTCCAGTCAGCACTTGTCTCAGCAGCGTGCTGCGAGGCTCCACATCATATGTTACAAGCAACTGATGTGTACCAGAGACTGGTCACAGCTGATCACTCACATTCTCTAATAGTTAAGAAGATAATAAGGCAACTGCAGATGCCATTTGGCGCAGACGAGGCAGGTCCTATTTACATCCACCCAAATTCATTCCTATACATGTCTGACCTTCACTTAAAGCACTCCAGCAAGTCTACGATTATAATGCTATATGGTAATTTGTTCGAGTTGCAACTCAATATTTACCAGGTCTTTCCTGAATCTAAACTAATGCAATTTATATAACATAAGAGCATAAGAAGAACATATGAATGAAGGAAAAGAAATTATCACATGCTCATCTACGAAAGCCGCCATATCAAACCACAGATAAGTGGGGGGGGGGGTATTCCAGAGAGGAGTATACCTTACTGCTTGAGTATATGTATGGAACTACATTTGTAATATTTTTTTATAGTGGAAGATAATAATGTAATTCTGTAATAATATAATAATAATATAATAATGTGTGATCCTCTGCTTTATTATGTATTAACATTAATTATCTCTTGCTCCCATAATGTGCAACGTGATGCGTTTTTTTTTCTTGTGTCAGGATCAGTTTGATTCAATCAATTGATGACATCTTCAAGGCGACGAGTATGAGCTGGTCTCAAGTGTCGGCTCTGCTTGGCATTTAAGTTTGTGTGCCGGAAGCTTCCTACAATATGAAATATTTTGGCATACCCGATAATTTTGTTAAATAGTTGCCTTAGTTGTTCTTAAGTCTTTTTATGTCTGCTGTGTTCTAAAAAAATGTTCTACATTTACTCCCAATGATTGAACGATAACAAAAGCATCAAGGCTGCTCCCTGTGAGATAACTGTATCCTTTTCTGACTTAAGATTTTATCGCCAGTTTCCTTAGGTGATGAATGAGAGCGATAATGAGAGACTCATTATCAGTCTCTCATGAGCATCAAGATCCGGAACCTAGTTAGTATCGATTGTATATAAAAGGCACCTACATTGACTCGCCGTCGTAGGCAATAATAGAACGAGGAGTTCCGCAATAATACTAGGTTGAGATGGCGACAGCTCAATCAAAGCAAAACAACTGTAGTTTACCAATGCTGGAAAGTATTAGTAACTTGCTTAATGCTCTCAATGATACTTCTTACTGACCTAGAAGGGTGTGCATCATTGCCACTCAGGTGTATTAGTCAATTAGTGATGCCACTGTTAAATGTCGATTATTATGATAATTGTGTGCAATTGCATGAAAAGATCTGAAAACGAGTAATGTATGCAGACGGTGAGTCACAATAACGTGGCTGAAGTAACGATCACCCGCCAAACACACACCGAAACTACGACGTTGGTACAACGTTCGAACAAGTTTTAACACCTCCTAATCAGTTATAACAACCAATATAGCAAGTTGTAATGACATTTTAATACGTCATAAACACGTTAAGCCAAGATGTAACAACTTTATTACAAGTTGTAACAAGCGGAAAATAGAGACAGTTTCGGTTTGTGTTTCCAGGGGATGACCAGACCCCACATCAGAAAACGGAGAAACGACAATGTTTCAGTCCGTCCTGGAGCATTATTACCAAGTCGTGTGGATGACTTGGATGACATTCACACTTGATAATGGTTCAGGACGGACCGAAACGTCGCCGTTTCTCAATCTTCTGATGTGTGGTTTGGTTATCATGTGTATTGTAGTTTTTTTGCGTTATCGTGTTGCAATGTCAACTGACTATAGCCCACAATGGCAACAACAAACATGCTCCTCTCAGTTCCTGATATTAATGGATTTCTTAATTTGTTGGCTAATCATTGGTAACAAATTTCTTTGCAAGGAACGGCAGTTAGCCCGTGCAAGATGTGGGAGGCGTCATTAGGCTAATTGCAGGAACGGTGGCAAATTAATGCTTGCTCTAAATTTATGTATACCAGCTTAGAAGCAATGTGACGCAGTTTACTTCAACGAATTTGAGCACAGTTGTATCCGGTATCGAAGGACCTTTACTTTAATGTGGAACGCAGTGTTAAGCAGAGCAAACGGCCGTTGTTGCTTCTGTTCTGCTGACGACTCCACCCACCAGTAAACGGAATTATATAATTAACTCTCGCCTGTTTGCTAAATTTCGACAACGGTATATCTCCACATTAACTGAATCGGATAAATGTAATCATTCAAGTGTTTTTTTTTTTTTTTTTTTTTTTTTTTTTTTTTTTTTTTTTTTTTTTTTGAGATATATACAAGAGTTGTTACATTCTTGTACAGCCACTAGTACGCGTAGCGTTTCGGGCAAGTCCTTAATCCTATGGTCCCTGGAATACGATCCCCTGCCGCGAAGAATCGTTTTTTCATCCAAGTACACATTTTACTGTTGCGTTAAACAGAGGCTACAGTTAAGGAATTGCGCCCAGTAAATCCTCCCCGGCCAGGATACGAACCCATGACATAGCGCTCGCGGAACGCCAGGCGAGTGTCTTACCACTACACCACGGAGACTGCTAATGTTATTTCAACATAGTTTTCAAGTAGAACGATTCATTAACTATCAATATAAACTTGTAGCTTTTTGCTTGTAATATAATGAGAACCACAGTTTGGTGATGTTAAAACCTGAAAACATGCCTGGTACCGATATATTTTTAGTTATATATACATAGATATATAGATATAGATATATATTTAAGTTAACCGTATTTGTTCAGCTTGTGGTTCGCGGTTCCCAAGCGTCCATAGTCTTCTCAGAAGTTGCAAAGATGTTGACGCAACGTGTCCATCTGGAGTTTATTCTCATGAAGACGGAGTATAAGTAAATTTTAGTCCAGCAAGATGGACAAGTGTGGACACTGGTGTTCTGATAGTAATGGGCTGTATTAAACCTAGATTGGTGGGAGATTGTGAGAGCCAGAGCAGCACGACCAACCTCGACAAGCTCTTGGTAGCTACTATGAGACAGTTGGCGTCCAGTAGGATAAGGATGCGGCGCCTGGTTACCAGTCTCGCTATTAAAATATTATTTATCATTCCCTTTGCGAAATTAAATAAATTCAGAAATATATATAATCCAATTCCATTAGAGGAGCGTTGTAGATGATAATTAAGAACAATATTGATTATAATGAAAGCATGAAGCAGAGGTTGAGAGAGAGGAAGTGAGTGTGACACCTCACAACTATACGAGTGAGGTGTCGTCCCTCCACTGACAGTTGTCACCTCATTGGCCGACAGTTCCGCCACTGTGGGTGCGCATGCTGACCAGCCGGGACCCACTGAGCGCCGGCCGGCCCTACGACGTGGTGTGTCAGGCCGCTGGCTCCCGGCCCCCGGCATCTGTCACCTGGCGCCTGGGCAACACCAGACTCAACACTCACACTGACAAGGTGAGTTACTGCCTCTCACCACCACCTTTATACCACACATCATGGTATGTATACCGCACGCTACACATCATCTTACCTTACTAACATCTCGCACCTCCAACAAGTAAACTTTATAAACATGATTCAAGCATTAAAAACGGGGCGTCTTAACCTGTGTTGCTCACACTGTACGCAGGGAACTATATATATGTACACTCAACATAGCTCACCCTACAAACGGGACACCATGCCACACTCCCACTACGAGCACGTCGTTCTACTACCCGTTTGACCGCGAGCACGTCAAATTACAAGCACAAGTAAATCTCGGTCAACAGACCACAACAAGTATAGACACGCTTTCAGCAGGACAACGTGACCAAGTTACGTAAATCACACTTTTCAACTCGGTTCTGTACACACGTTTCCTGGTTGTTTAAACACAACACGCTTATTCATTTTCGAACTTTACAACACATCAAATGCACGGACGTTAAATACACACACACTCGAGCGACGTGATCACCAGCTTCTGTAAAAGCAAGAAAGGCGGGAGACACCGTGTCGAAGCCCAACCAGCCCAGTACACCTTACTGGGGTGACACTAAGGTGATTAGTCACTCAAAACGCCCCCAAGCTCTCATTATATAAAGACAGACAGAAAGAGAGCAAGGGAAAGAGAGAACGAGAGAGAAACCGAGGGAGAGCGGAGAGGGGAAGAAAAAGAGTGAGGAAGAGAGAAGGTGAGTGACTGAAAGAGGGAGAGAGAAAGAGAGAGAAACCAAAGGAGAGGGGAAAAGAAAGAGGGTGGGAGGAAGAGAAAGTGAGAGAGACAGGGACAGTGAAAAAGGTTGAAGCAGGAATGGGAGAAAAGGAATCATGGAAGGAGGAGCGATAATGAGGGAGAGTGAGAGAGAGAGATAGAATAAGAGAGACCAAATACTTGGGCTATTGTCACCCAAATTAGAAGAGTGATTGGTCTAGGGTACGGGACGGACATAGGCTAGCTCAGGTCGCTATAAATAAAATAAGAAACAGGATCTGAATGCCAAGGTCGCATTCAGATCCCCACAATGATTTTTGACATTGCCCGCCAAAACTATACAACTAAATATTTTGAAAATAAATATTAAAAAAAAATCTCTTTCATATAGATTATTTTTCACTGATCTCAGGAAAATTAAAAGAAATTTCCTGCTATCCTTAATTTGTCCGTAGTAGCACAAAACAGGCGATCCTCCCCCAGCTTCTACTGTTTTTCAAGCCCTGCCCCTTTATCATAGTAAATAAATCTTCTCACTGCTGACCACTCACACTACTCACACTGAAATGGGAGAAAATTATATTTTTTATACAAAAAAAAGAGACAAAGACAGAGAAACAGAGACAATCAGGTATGCTTTTATAGCAAGATCTATACCAATAAGAGAGAATATCTATCTGTTTATCTCTGTCTTTCTCTAAGTCCAAAGTTGGAGGCCAGACACTTTGGGCTAGTCTCACCTAAATTTCTAGGAGGTATAGTGTGGGGTATGGAATGGTCATAGGCTGGGAGGAGCAAGCCTACATTAAAAGCTTTAAGAAATATATCGTGTAACTCAACACCTCGGAGTAATTTCCATGAAGTCTCAAATGACTACGTAATGAAATCGGGGAAGAGATGTCCATAGAGTGTGAACTTGCTGTAAAGATACTCCAGCCATCTATTCGCACAGTGCCTTAATAATATATTTTCTGATGGGGGAAGAGGGGGAAAGTGGGGTTAGAGTAGGTGACAGGGAGGAGGGTAGGGGGGACTGGGGAAGCCAAAGTGGTGGGGGAGAGGGGAGGATGAAGGGGGGGGATAAGATACCCATATAGTTGTTTCAGTCCTATATAATGCATTTTCTGAGAGAGGGGAGAGAGGGGGAGGGGAAGGACTAAGGTCATAGGGAGAGAGGGGGATGACCTAGGGGAAAGGGGAAGTGGGGGGGGGGGAAAGAAGAGGACGAATAGGGGAAGATGAGACGTTTGTCTTAACTTGCGATTACATTGCATAGATTCCGGGGGTCAAGGTCCCCGCGGCCCCGGTCTCTGACCAGGCCTCCTAGTTGATAGACTGGTCAACCAGGCTGTTGGACGCGGCTGCTCGCACCCTGACGTATGAGTCACAACCTGACTGATTCAGGTATCCTTTGGAGGTGTTCATCGAGGTCTCTCTTGAACACCATGAGGGGGTCTGCCAGTTGAACAGCCTCGGTCTCCTCATGTTGATGGCGTCCTCTCCGAGATCCTATAACACTTTTGAGACGGGGGGGGAAGGGGTTGTTACACCCACAGAATGAACTGTCAGTTGACTGCTCAGTGTCAGCAAATGGGTTGACCTCGTTCGCCAGAGGTAATAACCTCGTCCCCCCTGAGGTTTGAGGTATGACAGCAAGGTCAGCGGCTTTTATACGTATCTGGCACACATAGTGTACACCTATAGAAAACGTATTTTATTGTTTGCTAGCATCTTATGCCAATTATTTATATGTGAGATTGTTAAATATAATACCAAACATTTCATTCATCGCTATTAAGTGTATTTGGTGTAATTTAATAAAGACTTGAGGTCAAATACAGCTTTATGATTGACTTACCTACCGAGAGCATGTATTCACTTGATTATTTACGAGCAGATTAATTACAGTTTACCCCCCCGTGTGTGTGTGTGTGTGTGTGTCAGCTGAGTCAGGAGGGCAATGTGACGACGAGCGAGCTGCGGCTGACACCAGAGGTGGCTGACGCCGGCAGGGTGCTGACGTGCCTGGCCCAGTCCCCGGCCCTCGTCTCTCTCCCTCTCCTGGACGAGTGGCGCCTCGATGTTTACTGTGAGTACCTTCATGCTGACTCTCTGAACCCTTCATACTGACTCTTCTCTGTACCGTCACGCTGATTCTCTGTGCTGTAACGCTGACTCTCTGTGTACCGTCACGGTGACACTGTAACGTCACGCTGACTCTCTGTACCGTCACGCTGACTCTCTCTACCTTCATGCTCACTCTCCGTACCGTCACGTTCACTCTTGATGCAACACAGTGTCACATCAGCAGCTAACAACACCTTCTTGCAGCAGGAGATCCGAACCCACCACTGACAGGTGATATGAGACCTCAGGCTCCACCCTCTGGACAGGTTATAAACAATAGTAAACTAACTGAACACTTTATGAACACTGGCAAATACGGCACTTGACACTTGCAATATCAGAACAACAATGCAATTAACACTGTTACTGAAGCAACAATACACAAGTCATTAACACTAAACACTTTAATTAACACTCAATTAATTTATGTTAATCACTGTCACTAAGGCAATCACAAATAATTACGTTAACACACCAATAATTCTAACTAATTATACACTTATTGTTAGATTATAACACAGACAACATTAACAACAAGGAAAGTCATCGGTGTTACTAAGACACAACAGTTAATGTGAATACGCGTGACACAGAGTCCACTGAGACAAGGGTTACACCCCCCCCCCCACCTCGACCCCGTTACACACACGAAGATCACCTCACTTAGAACAACTCACAGCTCTAAGGACAAACTTCACAACAGTTGTCACTAGTTATGTGTCACTGCTTCACTGGCAACATTTGCTTTAAGACGTAACACGTGACACTGAGTCTCAAGAGTCGTTAAATATGACACTAGTTCGCAGGAGTCCCTACACAAGACTCCACATGTGTAATTGAGGTCCACCTCAATGGTTCTCTATTCTATAACACGTGGCTCAACAAGGTCTTTCTTCGTTCTGAGTAGCTAAATTTAAAACAATAACAGGTCTTTCCACTGTCTCATAACCCTCACTGTTGTCGACGGCTTATCCGTACTGGCGATGTAATTGCAATTAAATCCTTATTAGATGTTAATCCAATCGCACCTGCAATCACCAGTGATTCGGGTCTGGTACATTACAGATGGAAAAGTCTCTTTAATTATTACAGACGTAGGTGAAAATTGGCTGCCTCCGAGCTCTGTGAGGCAGCGTCTCTCCACTTTGGGTTTTTAGCACTGAAAGCCTTATTCTTGGGGAGCTCCCGATGCCCCTGGAGGATTCCGTGACGTCATCACTTCACGACCAATCACAGCACTAGGCCTCCCAAGTGTTGGCTTCAAGTGCCTGTAATTGGTGCGCGCAACTGTTCTTGTTTCTGGCGCCATCGCTAGTTCAATGGCTTTCCGCCAGGGGCGCCACTATCTCAAGAGGGCTGAGAACTAAGGGAGTTGCGCCCAGCCAGCAGCCCTTACAACATGAGTTTGTGCTATGAGGGAAGCTCTCCTCACAATCAGCCCTTACAACATGAGTTTGTGCTGTGAGGGAAGCTCTCCTCACAATCAGCCCTTACAGCATGAGCTTGTGCTGTGAGGGAAGATCTCACAATCAGCACAAATAAGTTATCCCTTGTACTCTTGTGCAACTAACTTACCCTTTGTTCACCTGTTCAACTAACCCATTCCATGTACACCTACCTGTACAAGTAACCACTCCTATGTACATCTATACAACTAATCTATCCCTAGTACATTTGTACAACACGCCCACTGTACACCAATTTGATGTGTTTTACAATATGTAGATCAGCTGTACCCTCGTGCTCTTTATACCTGTTAAGAGACATTACATCTATATCCCTGTACGATACGTGTTTCCCCCTCCATTACCGTTTACTGCCCTGCCAGACGTTCCCATGTCGACGCTGTACCCGGGTCGGAACCTCAATCTGAGCGACATCGAAGAGGGAGACGATGTGTACTTCGAGTGCTCCATCAAGGCCAACCCCTGGGTCTACAAGATTGTCTGGCTCCATGAGGTAAGTCACTGCTAACGCACCAATAATCACTCACATTGTTGAACAGTGAACTAAAGCAACGTTCATTTTAAAAAACTACCGTAAACAAATGTTTAAATGTTACTGTCGTTTAGTAAAAAAAAATTGTTTACCAATGTGTAATATAATTAGTTGTGTTGACAAAATGTATTGGCAATTTTGGCCAATCAGAGTAATTGTGGTGTGGATACTGTGTATATATATATACTCCCTTTGATGAGTGATGATCACTCATGAGAGAATTGATCATTGCCATACATAAGAGAAGTGATCACTACCACACATGAGAGAATTGATCACTGCCACACATGATACGGGTTGGGTCTATGGAGATGCCCTCACAAAAATTAATCTCCAGCACCACACATATCAGCAATTACTGAGAATCAGTAATCATATATCCCCCCTTATCATTAAAAAAAAACATACATCCATGGGGATGAACACAATATATAGGCTGATCTGAGCGGTTTTTTTTTTTTTTGAGAGAGGCGTTCCACACTGTCTCGTTACAGGGCCAGGAGCTGCAGCACAACGTGTCAGCCGGGGTGATCATCAGCAACCAGAGTCTGGTGCTGCAGAGGGTGGCGAGGACGGCCTCCGGCAGCTACTACTGCGTCGCCTCCAACATCGAGGGCGACGGACAGTCCAACCCCGTCAAGCTCAGAGTCAAGTGTGAGTCACATCTTTGTGTCTCTTCATTCGTATACAAGTGGCAGTCACTTTCCTCTTGTTCGTGTATCTCTCTCTCTTTTTCCTCTTCTTTCTCACCATTAACATTATAAAACATTCACTTCACATTAATTATTCGAATGTTATTAATTATATAATGAAATCTTGAGTGTGTGTGGGAATAAGTCTACATTGTATTTCTTGCAGCAACACATATTTTATTCATAATGATAAAATGAAGCAAATAGTAAGCTTCTTTCTTAATTGAAGAAAACACCTATTTTACGTCATGAAGTATAAGCCGGTTACGTCATAAAGTACAGTGACGTATCGTCATAACTTACAGGGAAGTAATGTTATAACATACAGGGAAGTAGTGCTATAACTTACAGGTGTGGTGATGGTGGTGGTAGTGAGTGTGATGGTGGTGAGTGTGGTGGTGGTGGTGAGTGTGGTGGTGGTGGTGAGTGTGGTGGTGGTGAGTGTGGTGGTGGTGGTGAGTGTGATGGTGGTGGTGAGTGTGGTGGTGGTGGTGAGTGTGGTGGTCCCCGAGACATTACCGAGGATGGAAAGAGCTGCGTAAGAGGAGTTAATTATAAAATGTTGAAGCCAAGGTATCCTATATTGTTCTCTTATCTCCTCAGGGCAACTGGCTGCCCGCCTCCTGGAAGCGGGAGGCGGGGTAATGATGATAGCCAGTTCAATCTTCCATAAAAAAAACACAATATTCCAAACGTTCTCCTTTAACCACCTCTCTCGAATTAAAACAAAAAATAAAATGCCGTTTTCCAATCAAAATCTCTGTTTACCACTATACTACAACGGCACTATTTTACCCCTAGGTGTCCCTTTCATCAGTGCTATATAAATATCCACTTTGGTGTGTGTGTGACAGTCTTCCTGGACCCCCACAGACGCGCCCGTGTGTCGCAACCCACAGATGACCTACCACGGCGCGGCCAGGTACGAGGAGGTAAACATCCCCTGTCACCTAGACGCTCACCCGAGCCCCATAGCCTTCAAGTGGACCTTCAACAACAGCGGCGAGAGTGTTGACATTCCTCCGGTGAGTTAGGACATTAGGTTACTGGAGCTTCAAAACAATTATGAGTAACTAACCATTGCAGGAAGGAGCCCACCTTTTCTCACTAGATGTGTCGGCCTTGTATCCAAGTATACCCCAGGTGGAAGCAGCCCGTAAAGTAGCAGTTTTCCTTGAGGAACACACAGGAGAACTTGCAGACGATTTACGAGACGCCGAAGGAAGACGTCCTTTGGAGAGAGCGAGAGTGGTACAGTGCCAGGTCCTATAGGAGACGCTCCGGTGTGTTAAAGCTTAAAGCTTACCGTAAAAACCTCCCGTATAGCTTACCCGAGTGTGAGTGTTGTTAATGCGGAGGTCTCCGTGCACACAGCCCACGAGGAGCAAGGCAAGGTGTATACACCGGCCCCACTCTTATACTTCAGATATATTGATGACATTTTTGGAGTAATGGGACGCAGGGAGGTAGAGGTCTAGAATGTTCACACATGGGCTAACGGTGTCCAACCCAAATTTGGCTTTAGATTTGGTAATCTAGCCCTGAGGAGCTGCCCTTCCTCGACACCTGTAGCTACCTGAACGGAGAAATGAGACTCCATACTAAAGTATTCTATAAGGATGCTAACCTGCATTCTTCTCTCTTATATACATCCTGTCACCCAACATCCTTACAGAGATCTCTCCCCTATTCGTCAGGCATCTGAATAAAGTGGATAACGAGTGTTGACAGCGCACTCAAGAAAGATATTGATATACTTTGGTCAGTTTCCAAGGACAGAGGATACCCAGAGAGGATTCTACAGGAAGCAGCAAAAGAGGCGGGACCTTCTGAGGACCGGACGTCAGCGGATTCCCCTCTCCAGGATGGTGCTCCCTTCAACGTATATTCCTACAGCATCAAGAACTTACAGGGAGGAGATAAACAAACTTTGGCAGTGGATGGAGGGCACCTTTAAGGAGCACGGGTACGCCGGAGCGCATCCGATCCCTTGATCGTCACCCCTAAATCAACAACAACAACAACAGTAGTTGCATTATGACTGCAATTAAAAAATAATAATAAATTAATATTATATTAAAAATATATTACTAATAATGATAATGTATTTATAAGAAATATAATTACAGTGTTCATTGTATGTGTAGGTATTTATATGCTGTATAATAGGATAAAAACCCACACTTATGTATTTGTGAAATTTATGTAAAGATTTACACCAAGTCTTTCACACTCTCCTGAGTGCTTTGTCAAGGTCTGAGTGTGTGTGAGGCCGAGATCTCAACATCTCAACGACAAATAATGAAGCTGTTGTCTCAATCTAATCTAGTCTCAACGACTAGATTAGACTAGCCGTTGAGATGGAAGTCTCGTCCTATACCACACACTCAGACCTTGACAAAGCACTCCGGAGAGTGAGAAAGACTTGGTATAAATTCTTTACATAAATATCACAAATACACAAGTGTGGGTTTTTATCCCATGTTATGTTGCAACCCGTTCTCGCACTTTCTTACAGTCAATATTGACTTATTAAATAAGTGCATATGTGACATACTAATTTATTGTGAATATTTTAGTTTACCTTGAAAAGCTTCATAGAAAACACCGACCTTACCTAACCTTCTTAGTATGTTAAGATAAGCATCTTATTGCTTCATAATTACAATTATTATTTAACCTATACCTATAATAGGTTAAGTAATAGGTTAGGTTAGGTTAACCTATACCTATAATAGGTTAAGTAATAATTGTAATTACGAAGCAATAAGATGCTTATCTAAACATACTAAGAAGGTTAGGTAAGGTCGGTGTTTTCTATGAAGCTTTCCAAGGTAAACTAAAATATTCACAATAAATTAGTATGTCACATATGCACGTATTTAATAAGTCAATATTGACTATACGAAAGTGCGAGAACGGGTTGCAACATGTCTGTGAGAAGACATTACCATTACTTATGCTGTATAATGTCACTAATCACACGCAGCTGTATATGTTACAGTTTATAAGTTAAGAACCAGTTTTTTATTATTTTTATTTATATATACTTAAATTCATTCAACATTTTGTAATTGATATATTGAATAATCATGTGTTCAGAAGTTATTAAAGCAAGGGTCAATTATTTGTGGTTTAAATGGCAGAGTTCAGTAACAATTTGAAGCTGGTGAGATAGATTAAGTTGATTCACTGATGAAGATTAGACCAGCCAAGAGGTGGCACAGGCATGAGTAGCCCAATAGACTAAGTCATTAGGATTGAGCACATATAGTAAGGAGTGTGCGGTGTGTGGCAGGACCACATCCAGGTGTGGGAGACCGGGTCGACGGTCAGCTATACTCCCAACACCGAGCTCGACTACGGCACCCTCCTCTGCGTGGGTACCAACGCTGTCGGCCAGCAACGCCGCCCCTGTGTGTTCCACGTCTTCCCCGCCGGTGAGTGGCGCTCCCTCCACGCCCCCAGTCACGGTAATGTTCCCTCTCACCACACTGGCTTAGGCTCATATCTCTTGACACTCTTTGTTTGCGCCTTGGCTTAGTGCTTGTGACATTCCATCTGCTCTCCTCTCATGGCATACCTTGTTCTCTATATAATTTGTAAAAATAAATATACGGTCAGAGATATCTCGCATTTTCCTGTATATGCCCAGTCATTTCTTACCAACACTCTCTCAGTTTAGAGTTAGCCTGGGCTTCCAAATAGCTTTATACTCATGATCACTATCTCCTAAAACATCTTTCCTTTGAACAAATCCACAAGGGCCGTGACGAGTATTCGAACCTACGTCCGAGATCATTCCAGACGCTGCCTTTATCGACTGAGCTACGACATAATCAAAAAGAATTGAAACCGAAGTTCTTTTGACAATGTCGTAGCTCAGTCGATAGAAGGCAGCGTCTGGGATGATCTCGGACGTAGGTTCGAATCCTCGTCACGGCCCTTGTGGATTTGTTCGATGCATCACGCTTTTGTCATTTCTGTGTGTAATCTTTCCTTTCTTGGGAATTTACCACCTTTTACAAATTTACGTTTTCTCCAAAATGCTAAACAGATTAACCCCCCCTTTCCCCCCCCCCCGATCCCCTTCATGTATTGGTTCTTCCTCACCATCAATTTTTCTCCTCCCGCGAGCTTAACGTAAGGCTTCGCGGGAGAAGGTAGCGCCGAGCAGCCCATAACCAGGCTGGGTAGCAGCAGGGCGGACACGGCAGGAACGGTGGCCAGTAAGCCTTACTGATGTTCTTCTCGAGGTCCTCCAGAATACACAAGGACCTGAGAAACAGATGGCGCCACTCCACACGCTGGATTATGGATATACTAAACAGCTAAGCTGTTAAATCTATTGACTAATAACAAAGGGATAGAGTAGGAAATTAATTATCAAATTAAATATATAAATATTAATAATAATTTTAAATAAGAACATTACTAAGCCTGCTTTATCCCAATTAATACTAACGTTATAACCCTCCTCCCCCACTGTGGAATTGTGTAAAAATTTACATACCTATGGAATACAGTTCAATACCAAATATTCAATATACAGCCCACTCACGAAGGTAATTAAATAAACAAATTCAATTACCTTCATAATCTCTCAACAATATTTCTTTTACACGCAATTCATTATTCTTCTCTACAATCCTGCCCCCTTCTTATACACGTCAACCACTGTGTAGTTGGTTCTTTTCCGTATACTTTTCAACAATTAGTGTTCGTCAAACGGCTAAGTACTCCGACAAGTTCTCCATTGCTGCATCACAATCACTAAATATGAGACTCTGGATTTGTTAAGTGACTTCACACATCGCAATTCAGTCGCGGATACAGAAAGAATATATAATGCCTGAGGTACTCAGGATCACAATAGCGTCCGCATAAGGTACTCATACTACAGTAAGTTATCCTATAAAAGCTTTTGTAATGCTGAATAACGAGACAACTCGGTGACAAATTTCTTAATCGTCATGTTTACTTGTTCCTGGTTTAACCAAGTGTCTTGTTCCAGTAATCCCAACCCTGTGGCATTAACCAAATTTCGTACCCCAGCGTGGATTTAACTAAGTTTCGCACCCCCAACGTAGCTTTAGGTTTTGCACCCCGACGTGGCTTTAACCAAGTTTCGCACCTGCAGGTGGCTTTAACGAAGCATTTCACCGACAGGTAAGCCCGACCCGGTGCACAACTGCTCGATGTATAACCTGTCCGTGGAGGTGGTGAACGTGCGGTGTGTGGCGGGCTTCGACGGCGGCCTGCCCCAGACCTTCATCCTGGAGCTCTACCAGCCACACACCAAGACACTCCTCGCCAACACCACCAACTCGGTCAGTGCTCTTCCCGCTCTCTCTCTCTCTCTTTACGTGTATTTTTTCACACCACAAAGGTGGAATTAAATATAACTTGAAAGCACAATTCAGTGAGGTTTGCAAGTTATTTATAACAAGAATTCATCTATATTTTCAGACATTCCCAAAGAAATGTCTTAAAATATTTCTGGTTTATACCCTCTGGAAGAGGAGGGTATAAACTGGAAACATCTATTCCGGTTTTCCTCTGTCCTTTGCCTTCTGTATTTCCTCCACTCCCTCCTGCTTTTTTTGCTTTTGCTTCACAGCTGTCTCTCCCATGCTGCACCACTGACACACACCTGTCTCTCCCATGCTGCACCACTGACACACACCTGTCTCTCCCATGCTGCACCACTGACACACACCTGTCTCTCCCATGCTGCACCACTGACACACACCTGTCTCTCCCATGCTGCACCACTGATACACACCTGCCATGGCTGCAGGTGCCGACGTTTTCAGTGGGAGGTCTGCCGGCCGGCCTGGGCTTTCGAGGTGTTGTGTACTCGACCAATGGGAAGGGTGGCAGCGAGGAGGTCAGCCTCCAGGTGTTCACCCTCAAGGATATGGCGGAGAGACGCACAGGTGAGGTCCTGCCATCGTTGACAAGTCCAGGGCGAGAGTGGAAACATTAAGGAGTAGTTTAGGGTAGATCAATCTGGCTGGCATTGAGATCGGTTTTATTCTGCAGATTTGGCTATTTTATTTTATTCGTGTAAATGGTAAATTTTGTTGCAGTCAGTTGGTAGATATTTATGATGTAAATGCTTCACATTCAGGTGTAAACTTTAACTCCTAACACAGATGTTGAGTGGTGATAGAACAATAACAAAATGCTGTTTTAGGAAACATGTGTCCAACATGGGGGTCTATTTTTTTTTTTAAAGAGTTTTGAAACTAAAATTATCCCAGACACTCTTCGTTAAGAGCAAGATCCCTGGAGGTTAGCTGCTGCTTACCTATTTCCTACCAATGTGTTAAGAAACTAGCCCATCGTTGAGATAAAAAGTATTTTGGATTCAGAAGGTATAAACCAATTATTGACATTAAAATCCATTTGTCTTGATTTGACATTTAATCCACATGACCATATTCAAAGCTATAACTCAAGACCTGCTTCGCTCACTTTCAGCCCTCAATGTGTCACCAAAAACACCTTGCCTAGCCATGCATAAACCCATAATATATAACAATATTTTTACATACGAGCATCGAAAAGTTTGTCATTAAACTGCAGTAAAGATTCATCCTGTCAACTGGTTGCCAGGTCTGTCAAATGCTGACATTAAAATCTACACAAGACAGTATTTGACTTATAACTAGGGTCGGAGGACGGGTTGAACATAAATATTGACCGCTGACAGTCTCTCTCCTCTCTCCTGGTCATATTGTCCCTGGCTGCCTGCGGTCACAGCGGCCGTCAAACCCTCGCCTACTCAGAACAAGTCATCGCATCACATAAGCCTCACACCGATCATAGCATTAGTGTTGGGTGCCGTGGGCGGCCTCCTGCTGGTGATCATCGTCATCTGTGCTGTCATGAGAGTCCACTACGCCAGGAGAGGCGCCGTGCAGTGCCGGCTGGGCAACATACAGCAGGAGCCCGGGAGTGGCAGCCGTGAGGACGCTGCCACCACCGCCTCTCACTCCAAGGTGTCCCCCACCACCTTCAGCGACGCCATCCCGCCTCCGCCGCCATCATCACGAGACTGTGATGAGAAGAACCCCGACGTTATACCCCAGTCAGGTGAGTAGTGCCTGTACGGAGAATAATGCCAGTCACTATGGCAACGTGTGTCCCATCACCTCTGTCTTTGAGAATGTTGACAGGCTCAACGAAATGCATCTCTTAGCACCAGGTCATATAACTGAAAAAATGAACTTTGGATAGCTAATTTTTCAACTTCCTTCTCAAGTGAAGAACATTATATAACTGAAAAAATGAAATTTGGATAGCTAATTTTTCAACTTCCTTCTCAAGTGAAGAACATATGAAATATAGAGAAGATTCATACTGGAATCATTGATCTCACCCTCTCTTATATTCACATACACAAAACACCACCTACACCCTACATAAACTTATAATAATAAATATAAATATGGATTGGGTTCTATAAATAAACTTAGTTTTAAAACAGCCTATCACTAATAGAGAGAGGAAGCACCACTATAGTATGAATGGGGTACAATGCACTTATCGTTAGTGCAGGAGGCCGCCACACGTCACACAAACGATCACCGGACTGGTCTCCAACCCTGCCCAAGACCAAGTGGACGAGACAGCTAGCACATCTGTGCTAGCTGTCTCTGTGCTAGCTGTCTAGCTGTCTGTCTGTCTGTGTCAGCTAGCTGTCACCCCGGTTCCAATAATGTTTCATACACACCTCCCAATAGTTCATTTATATGTTTTATAAAGTTCCAGGCTGTTTTCCAACATTCAACACTGTTGTTTCTGTATATTTTCCAGCACTGAATATACTTTTTAAACATGTATTTATATTGCTGTTTACACTGTCCTGGGGATGACGCTTTCCTGCTATGACAATGCTCTGCGCATGTGCAGAACTATTATACTGGCAGGGATTCCAAATGTAAAAGTTCTAGACTGTTTTTCAACATTTAACACTGCTGTTTCTGTCTCTCTCCTCTGGGTTATACCATTCACATGGGGTCTTTCTTATATAATTTCCCCTTTCCGGGGTGACGAGGGAAAAAGAAAAATTTGAAGAATTTACGTCAATTTTCTTAGTAAATTCTAACGTAACAGAAATAAACGAAATCCTAGTGGTGCTTACTAGCTAGCTAAATGACAGACAACAATGTATCATGTAACCAAGATACACGTGGCGATGGCTCTCCACTTGTTCCACACAGCAGGAGACTCTACAACAATGCTCCAGTCGCTTCCAGGGGGGGCCAGATTCACGAAGCAGTTACGCAAGCACTTACGAACCTGTCCATCTTTTCTCAATCTTTGACTGCTTTGTTTACAATTATTAAACAGTTAATGAGCTCCGAAGCACCAGGAGGCTGTTTATAACAATAACAACAGTTGATTGGGAAATTTTCATGCTTTCAAACTGTTTAATAAATGTAACCAAAGCCGTCAAAGATTAAGGAAAGATGTACACGTTCGTAAGTATTTGCGTAACTGCTTTGTGAATCAAGGTCCAGAAGTGTTCCACTTGACTTGTCAGGACTGACCAGACCAACGGAGTGGGAGCATGCAGGAGGTGTACATGGTGTAGACTTGAGCTCTTGTAATGCAGGCGCAAACGTGTCTGCAACTGGCAGAACACACATATGGATCACCAATGAGTGTTTTCCCTCTTTGGATCCTGAATCATATCTTAGGTTACTGACATCTGTTAGACTGAGTAATGGGAGCCAAGACCTGGCTGCCACTCGGGTGACCTGCTGTCACAACATACGAACATAACAATATGTAACATAACATACATGTGTGGAACAAGTGTAAGATGTCTGCACCGTACCCAACATAGAGAAATAGAGAGAGAGAGAGAGAGAGAGAGAGAGAGAGAGAGAGAGAGAGAGAGAGAGAGAGAGAGAGAGAGAGAGAGAGAGAGAGAGAGAGAGAGAGAGAGAGTAAGGTTAACCAGCACTTACCTTCACAGAGGCAGAGTCGTGGGTGGTGGAAGGTGTCAACACAATCAGCTCTGCCTCGCTACCCTCAACCTACGCTACACTGCCCAGGGCACAGCACCTGTGCACTCTCGCTAATTACCAGGTAAGTGCTGGCTGCCACTCTGCCGCAGCTAAGTTACTGGCAGAAACAGAAGGAGGTAAGAGAGAATAAAGTGAGAGAGGGAGAAAATGAGCGAGAGACAGGTAGAGAGAGGTGAATGTGAGAGAATGAGAAAATGAGTGAGTGAATGTGAGTGTGGGAACCGACCTGTGAGATTTATATTTATTTAATTTATATGAATTTATATTTACGTTAATTTATATACTTCGATAGCAATTTGTATAATGATAAGTGGACTGTATTTCTGCAATAATCTCATTATCTCACAAATCGATCCTCTACACATTAGGGGGGGTTTATATTAATTTATATATATGCAGCCAATCAAACTACAGTAATAGACTACATACATTGAAAAGGTTCCTTATCTTATTTGTACAGCAAGCTTTAGTCCACCAGGTATAACTAGGTTGTAGACGCCACATTTTCCCTCTTTGAGGTAGCTTCCATCACCCTGGTAACTGATGCACAAAGCATGCTTCCTCGTCTTTTCCTGTCAAAAGGGCGCTAACTGTGAAGCCAGAAACCTAGTATATGACAGGTATTTCAGAGAAAACACTGTACATGGAACAATGAAGACCTGGCTTAATTACCTTTAGTTTGAGGCTACCTCGTGCTCTAACCGGGTCACCCTACCCCTGACATTAATGGCCACTAATGATAGATAAATAAGGTTTCGGTAGAACACTTAACTTGAATTTGTTGACAGCGTGTGATAATGGTACACCTTTGGTTTCCATAACACTTCGTCCAAGTAAAATTAACAGGAGCCGTATTTGCTCCCGTGTACCTCTGGTCTAATACAAACAATGGCTAACACTCCATACTACTGACGCTACTGGCCGACATTGTCCAGATATGACAGGAGCCGAATTTGCTCCACGCGTCTCGGAGGTGACACAACAATGGCTGCCCCTCCTTCCTCCCTGACGCCTGGCCTACATTGTCCAGATGTCAATAAGTGATAGAAGGGTCACATTTACTCTACTTTAATATTGATAATTAAGTTAATTTATATGAGATGTTTTATGATGGTAAAGTCCAAAGACTAATGTATTTAAGAATAATTCCCACCATAATAGGTGGTGAATATAATAGTATGTGGTGATGATATCCCGTTTTCTTTAGACGGTAATTCCACTACAAGTTACGTTTTCTATGGGTTAACTTGTTTATACAATACAGCTATTATCTGTATGATTATTAAATGGTGTCGGATTTTCCGACAGTGAGGGAGTATGTATCAATTCAGTGATCACAGCTGGTGCCCTAGGCCACCCTGCCACCTTGGGCCACATCACCTCAACCCTACTAACAACGAAGCCTGATCAGTGTTGGGCGAAAAGTGCTCAGGCCGCGTAGCGGTGTTCACAGGTAGAGTTCCACCTGATCTTGGCCAGAGCTTCAACGCAGACGTCCCAATCCTTTTACCGGCGAGATGGTTACAATCAGACAAATGTGATGCCGTCTTAGGCGCCTTTAGGGGTTTCAATTTTAGTGGTGCTCCAGGAAAGATTTAAAGTCTCATTGAGGGTACCAGTTAGGACCTTCTGCGAGCCTCCCTTATTGTGAGCCTTCTTGGCCTGGTTGGTAGGACATTGGTCTCATATCCTGAGGCCAGAGTTCCAGTCAGTAATGATCCAAGTGTAAATCCGTGTATGTATATGAGAGAGAGTGTCAGTTTGACTCTCAGAGGTTGTAGGCCAGATGCTTAGACTAGCTTAATTGAGCTATGTGTTACTAACCTTGTCTCCAGTAAGTGATGTTTTGTGTAGCGACAGTTTATGTTAGCAATTTACCTAAAAAGAGAAAATGTTATGGATATTTGTTTCTTGGAGGCACCAGTCAGCTGGCTGTTGAGAGGCCATATATATATATATATATATATATATATATATATATATATATATATATATATATATATATATATATATATATATATATATATAAAACAGTGTCAGACCATGAAGGAAGGATTAAGACAGGAATTTCCTTAAGTACTTTATTTAATAATACATCTTCAGAAGGATGTATTATAATTATAATCAATAGCATACATTTTTTTGATTTATTTATATACAAGAAGGTACATTGGGGGTTAAGAGAGAACATAGGAATGATGTTGATTTTACAATCTTGTAAAGCCACTAGCACGCATAGCGTTTCGGGCAAATTGATTTATAGTAGGCAATGAAAATGGCCAAAGTTCATCAGATCAAACACTTAGAAAGTCATCTACCAAGACTTATGTGAACATAGATGTTGTAGACGTTACCTTCTTTAGTTAACTGTATGCAATTGTTTTACTGCTAATACCATATTTTCTTTGTGTGTACGCATCTTACCAACAGCCGTGTGCAGCCGGCGACGTACAGTATGCTGAGCTGGTGTTAGGAGGCAGCAGCTCCAGCCCTCAGCACCCTGACCTTCACAGAGGAACGAGTAACCCTCAGCACCACGACCCCCTCAGAACTACAGCCAACCCTGCACATCAGGACCCTCAGAGGGTGATTTACGCCACCCTGGACCACAAGCGCAGCCAAGCTCACTACCCACCGTCACAACAACACCCATCTTACTCATCACAGCCCGTCACCAGCACCTCCACGCACACCCTTCACCAGTCTAACCCCACCCACAGTGGGCAGTCACAGACGGCGTCAACACCGCATCCCCTCTGGACACCCTCCTCTGCTTCCATAGGACGTCGGCACTCCCTCAGGCACGATCCCCACCCTGGTGACCCGGAGGCTGTAATTCCACTTATCCTCAGTCAAAAGGAAAGCTCTGTATAAAAAAAAAAGGTACGTCATGGTAGGCTGGACTTCTTATACACTGGTGTATAAAATAATGCATGAAGATAAAGTCAATTTTATTCAGGAAAAAAGCTAAGCTAAGACTGCTACTCCCTCAGGCTAAGCTAAGACTGTTGAATAACTGATAGTTATCAATAAGAGAGATTCTGTAGCAGAATATAGAATTTTGGCAAGTTAGCAGAAAACAGAGTAAATAGTAAATCCATGTTCGACAAAGCCTGACAGAAGGCTATAGTAAAGTGGAGCAAACAATAATTGTATGGTGGAATATGTGGAATAAGACGACACTTAGATAAGTGGTAGAAAACTGCAAAGTTGAGCCTTGCACCAGTCACCTATCATTTGAAGGTGTGATCAGGTCTGACTGGAGTCACCTTTATCCATTACTACTTACAAATTCTTATCTAACACACTGACTGTTAAATCAGACAAGGTCAATAATGGCAACATGTCTGGAGAATTGTACTAAGACTGAGAAGAGAATAATTTTATTTAGTTTAAAGGAGGAGTTAAACATAGGAAAATGTATCGCAGGCTCTTTAGTATGTCCGGGGAGAACCTTAGAAGTAAGGACAGTATGAGAAAGATTAATAAATGGAGAAAAAAAGAATGATTGTATTCTCAAGTCGATTGTGTGAATGGTACTACACAATCGACTTGAGAATGATCCAGGACGGACCGAAGCGTCGTCGTCCCTTCACTTTCTAGTGTGTGTGTGGTTTGGTCAACATATTTCAGCCACGTTATTGTGACTCCTCGTCTGCAGTAATAAATGGATTTTCTGATCTTAAAGATGGTATTGGGCTCCGTGTTGAGGCTCTGCTAGCAGCACTTGAGGAGCTTACCAACGATCACCAAAACTAAATTTCAGCCGGTTGTAATTTTGTGAAGGAAGAAGTGTACTGAAGGCCTCGAGAATATGCTCAAAAATAAAGCTTCATTAACCTATGGTTCACGAAATAATTTTGTGTATATACATTTTTGCCGTATTAATTGCAACACTGCACGTAATTTAAACCTTTTATAATTTCACCGAAATACGTTTACATATCCCCCATTGAAATTACAAAATATATATAGTGTGTTGTATTACAAGGTCTTACTTGTGGCAGTCGTGACTTCCGGCCCGGCCATCACAAGCGTTATACTACAAGGTAGTGTACTGTTGTTGTTTAAGATTCGCTACTTGGAACAAAAAGTCCCAAGTAGCACGGGCTATGGTGAGCCCGAAGCGAAAGGTGGTGTAGTTTGTGACAACTCTGGATAGTCATCAGCCCCAGCCAGCCAACCGAAATTATTGTATTAGTCTAGACTCTGGTGGATGCGCACTTCTTGCCCTTTCTTACTCGTGAGAGCACATTTTGTGTTTTACATGTAGTCATCCAATTGTTAAGTGATGACTCTGACCTTGATCACGCTGCACATCAACTATCAGAATTTCTGTATCCCAAATGAGGTATGTTGTTGTTGTTGTTAACGTAAACTAACCGATTATGCCCTTAGAGTTCACTTTGTTCACTCACTGATATATATATATATATATATATATATATATATATATATATATATATATATATATATATATATATATATATATATATATATATATATATAATTTCTATATTAAAACTTCTTTACCCAAAATTACAACATTGGTTACATGCAAGGTACAAGGTTGGTTGTCAACGGTTGTCGAGCTCTTAAAAGCTCCTCAGAGGGCGGGCAGAATCTATGGATGCAGTATGCGATTTCCCTCTGTGTCGCCACGTTGAGGTGCTGAAAAAAAGCTGGTGGCTCTAGGATCTCTTGTTTCAGTTGCCTTAGAACCCAGCTTCTTCAAAAAATTGGTGGCACTTTTACCCCAGGCACTGAGCGTCTTTGAGGCAATGGGGGCTAAATTGTAGTGGTGATCCAGGTCTTTGTATTTGCAGGACTTGACTGTTTCCCTGTGAGTGGCAGCACCACCTGAATGTGCAACACTGAAGGCAACGTAGGTGGTAGCCAAGGCTGAAACGCATGTGTTGTCTCACACCAACTATCTACCATTCTTTCAGGGTTTCACTGTGATCCCACAAGGGCGACCAACCGTCTCGTCAGTGTTGTGGGGCATTAGGTAATGGGGCTCTCTCTCTGCTGGACAACCAGCTGTGGGCTCCTCCTAATGATGTCATTGACTTCCCTGTGTCTTGAGTGCCATTCCCCTGTGCTTTGCCAAAGCAGGCCATGCTGACCAGAGCAGGCCATGCTGACCAGAGGAGGCCATGCTGGCTGTACTGTCAGCCCCTGCCTCGCCACAAATACACCTATATTCACTGTGAATTTGGGGAAGCTAAGCGGAAAGCCACTGCCATTTGTAGAGCCTGCGGTGTGAGACGTGTGCCCGTTGCTGACATTGAGGGTTGCTAATAGGAAGTCACCTGCATGGGGGAGCTGCTATGGCTCTATATTTAGCAGTGTCCTGTGTTGTTTTTGCAGCTACTTGGCATATTATAGCCACTCGGTCTACAATGGGAATTTCTTACCTACCCAGCTGGATTGCTTGTGGGCTTTAGATGGTGGTGGTTGGAGTGCTGGTTTTACGAGAGACCCATTTGGTGGTGCGGTGTATAAAACTGGGATCGTGTACTCCTGCCTGTTGACCTAGGTAATCCAGTAGGATTTCCTTCACCAGGTTGTCAAATGCTACTGAAGAGGACAGGAACGCTGGAACAGCCATTTGTGTTGCTGAGCGAACAACAGAAAGGAAGGCAGGATCGGAGGCTTCTTTCCACTGTGAGTCATTGAGAGAAAGGTTAAGGGCTTTTCCTAACAATGATTTCAGCAAGCTGTCGTACTCCTCCGGCTATTGATAGATTGCGAACATCTAAGAAAGTAGGTCAGGCTGGAGAGGGACAAGCGATGAGGTGAAGTGCGACGTGAGCATCAATGTCTTCAATCCTTTCACCCATCCTCTTCAGGTCAGCGATCTTCTTACCAAGGACCTCGTCGATGGCCTTCGCTTCATGAAGAGCCCCTATGAGTGTACTGTCCTCACGTTTGGGTGTAAGGATATCAGGCAAAACACCCTTTGTTCGATCTATTATGTGCTGGTTGGAAGAGGTTACTTCGCACTTGGAAGAGTTCAAGGTGAGGCCTAGATTTGCTCCTTGCTCCTGAATTGTTCTTATGTCCTCGAGGAGGGAGTCCAGAGAGCCAGCTAGAGTACCATCGTCCAAGAACCAAATGTTGAGCTCATTGAACCGGTTTTCAGTGACTTCTTTAATAACTAGACAGAAAAGAACAGAAGCGAGGGATCACCTTGTTGTCACCATCTCGTGAGTCAATTTCGTGTTTACCAAATAACAGCTTCAGGTCCTTGCTATAACAAGAGCGGACAAATGGGTAGAGGGAAGGGAAATAACTATGGACAGCTTGGAGTACTGCATCCGTTCTTCCCAGGTTGAAAACATTTTTTAAATCCAGTTTGATCAGGGAGCCTCTTCTGTAATGTCGGCAATGAAGGCTCTAGCAGCGTGAGGTGCTGCCTCACACCCTTTGGGTATACCAAAACCGAGCTGTTTTGGCTTCAGCATGTCGGCTGCTGCCTGGCTAACTGTTCTTGCAGCAGCCTTAGGGACGAGTTGCTTATATATTATATATATATATATATATATATATATATATATATATATATATATATATATATATATATATATATATATATATATATATATATATATATATATATATATATATATATATACCGTCCAAGGAAGGACGTCGAGAAAGGGAAGATAGGAGGAAGGGGTGGATGGATGAGGGGAGAGGGAAAGGAGATAGAACGAGGGACACGGGAAGCGGGGGGAGGAGGAGTAGGAGGGAATGTTCGGATTGGGGAAGGCCGGGGAGGAACCGATAAGGGAAGGGCACCCGGGTACCCCATCCGGTATATGATTAACTGATCAGTATGATTAACTGATGCACCAAATGGACTAGATATTTAGCCAAAATTAAATTTAAATGTGTCAATAGCACTGAAAATGGATGACATTTTTGCAGCAATTCACGTAGTTTCGGAGGTCAGGGCTCTAACCTCGAACAGACCAGACACAGATATTTAAATTTATAGATATAGACACGTGCATTAGAGAGCGCGAGGAAGGCAATGCGGAAGAGCAAGAAATTTAACCTCAAATTGTTCAATAACTAATCAATTTTTTCTCTCAGCAGATCTATGGTGCTAGTGTTGTAACTGGAACCTGTGCATATCGACAAGGGAAGATATATTCAAAGGCTATATTATGTGTCTTCCAGTGATGTGAATTTTCGACCAGTCACAAATTTGGCGCGTTTTTAGCAGGTCAACTGGCTTTCCATCATCAACAAAACGTAGAAGAATTTCACTTGGAAATTTATTGCACGACTGTTGTTGAAAAAACTCGACTCTGAAGGCACAGAGGCGAAGTGCTGACACAAAATTAACAGTACTGAGTGCTGTGTTTGTTGGGCCGAAGCCGTTAGCACTTTTTATGCTGTGTTGAGTCCCAGTGTAACTGTTACAATTTATCCATGAACAGACAGAAGTGATTCTATAATTAGTGTCAACGGGAATCACAGCATTTATTGGACATGTTGCTCTCATTGACATGATAAAAGAACACCATCGGGAATCACAGCATTTATTGGACATGTTGCTCTCATAGATATGAAAACAGAACACCTTTTTGTGTATGTTGTGCTCAGGTAATTGTAAGAATTTTTGTATTCTAAGGCACGCTGTGGATTGCTTGTAGCGGCACAGTGAGGCTGCTCCTCTTACAAGCGACCATGACAGTCAGCTGGTGATGACAGTGTTAGTGGCTGTGGACAGGAACCTCAGTATAGATGTGTTGGAATCTCCTTATAGATCCAATAAAACTTCTTATAAATCAATCATTTGAAATATTTTCCTCCATTTACCTAGGTTTATAATTGGATGGCCATTTAATGGAAAGGTTTTGTAAAGTGTTGACGTTTAAAAAAATTATTAGTTATCATTTCAGAACTATTATATTTTGTGTAAACTTGAAAATGCACTGCAGGCGCTCATATTATTGTGCAACCTGTCATTCTGTGCAAAGTAATATATTAAAAAGATACTCAATTGAACATAAATTTAAGCAGATTTTAAATGTTTTTAATTGCATTTCCTGTTTTTTTGTAAACGAGCAGACTTATGCAGAATTTATAAACATTGTTTAAACACATGCAGTTTTCCATGATTATTTTCTAATAGTAAGGAAAAACAAGCAGAAAAACGGATGTCATTGCACTCATGAATAGAACGTAATGGAAGTGTGAGCAAGTGAGTTTATTATAGGAAAGATAGTATTGTAATATTAAATACAAGAGAGAGAGAGAGAGAGAGAGAGAGAGAGAGAGAGAGAGGGGGGGGGGAGACGAAGGACCCAGAAATACACGTGAAGAGACACAGATCACAACTACTAAAGACAATAACGATAAGTTTACTCGCAGAACACGTAACTGAAGTAATTGACGTAACTGACGTAACTGACGTAACTGATGTAACTGACGTAACTGAAGTAACGACACTGAGAAATGAGAATGGACGATCAAGATTAGATAAAAATTTCCCCTGAAGCCTATACTGAGAAAACTGTGTAAGATGACCTCAGAAACCCAGTCACCGATGGGGGCTCTGATGACTGAGTTTCTATGTCACCTGAGAAAACAAAATAGGGACAATCAGCTATGATAAACATCTCAATTACTGCAAAGATATGTGTATGTAAAGCCAAGATATTTCCCGGAAGAGGTTCTGTGAAAGGCGGTACTAGAGAGAAAGACAATGTGTGATATTGTAGAATGAGGCGTTAGGAATGCACATACAAGGTAGATCAGCAATATAGAAATAACCTCAGGTTGAAGAAGCAATGCATCAAAACAAAGTTCGAAAACAATAAGGTCAGCATAAAATTTAGTGAAGGGACAGACAAAAGATAGAGAGAAGCAGAAGGGGGAAAACGGGAACATGATGCAAAGAATACTTATATAATATCCTATCTACTAAATACTAAAGACCCAACAAACAGCCAAACTGGAAAAAAATGGCTCAACTTAGATCAAATTAAAATTAAATCAAAGTATATAAAAAATAAGTCTGCAAAGAACTCAAAGCATATATCCAAGAATTCATCAAGGTTAATTGAACACAGGTTTAACATAATGAAAAGCAATATAAACTCTGGATGAAGTATAGAAGCATCACAAGGAAGTAGAGATATTAAGGTAAGAAGTATGCCCTAGTATGCCTAGTATGCAAGGCCCGATTTGGCTAACAGGCAGTGATTTTCGTTAGTTTAATTTTTATTTTCCAATTGGTTTATTTGAATTAATATTATTATATTAGGAATATGAATTACTGACTTAGTTATGTTAGTTCAGCTTAAGAGAGGTTAGGTTAGGATTGGTCATATTTCTACTTTAGTTTTAAATCAAATTAAAAAGATCATATATTATGTAATGGAAAGCTTTATCATTTCACAAGAATTTTTTTTAGAAAAATATGTAACTTCAGGAAACTCTGCTTATTAAGCAAATTTCAGGACCTCGCATACTTGGCCAAGTAGTAGGAGCCATGAGAAGAATTTTAACCCCACACAATTGATACTTCAAAGCACAAGCCCTAGACCACTACATAGTCAAGAGTAATGCAACCTGGGATTCAACTGAATCATCTAAGGGTCATGAAGCTTCCACTGAAACCCAATCAGGGTCTTATGCTTTGGCTCCTGATTAGGCTTCAATGGAAGCCTCAGGACCCTAGCAACAACCATCGTTGATGGTAACTCGGGTAGATTCATCACAGATGTGTATCGTAAACCAACTGATGCAGGAAAGTGTATGAACCGTAAGAATGAATGCACCAATAGGTATAAGAGAAGCGTCATCAGTGCATATGTAAGCTGTACAATACGTGCATGCTCTTCTTGGCAGCTCTTGCACTATGAACTTGAAGTCTTTCCAGAGAAAAACAGAACGCCAAGGGACTAACGCCAGGCGGGAAGAGGAACTAACGCCAAGGGGGAAAAAAAAAACTTGCTCTGTCCCTAGGCTGCCTCGCAGTGGCATGCCCCTCCAGCAGCCCGTCCTCCATATTGACAGTTCGTTATAATACTAGATATAGTACATTAATGAACTGCACCGTTAGTATATTAATACTCTAGTTACAGCCCATACATTTCCCTCCCCAAATATTCTTTCGAAACTCGGAGTTTGTTTTATCGAATGAAACTGATATGCCATTTTATTTTCTTAAGTTTTGCGTACACTCAAGTCAGACCAGTTTTTATTATTTCAATATATGTACTGCACAATTTTGGCCTAGATAACCTAATTTTTCTTGTAAAGCACACACTTTTCAGGAGATTAGGTATGGTTGAAGAGCAGTCACTGACACTCAAAGGAAAGAAAGCACGAGATAACGATTTATGATAATAACTCTTTCCACTACCGCCCACAAGATGGGTATGGGGTGCATAATAAATGAATTGAACTGATAAAGCAAATTAGGACACATTCTCCAACACTATCTGTGATTGCTCTGTAACAAATGATTTCAGCACAAATGGTATGAGATACATTCTCTGAGTGTACTTAGACACCCACGAATATTGTTAGTGTTGAGTGTGTCTAACTCTAAGAAACAACACTCAGCCTTCTTGCTTAATTAACTGTCCAGTTTGACGCTCCACCGTGACGCGTCTCCCAATACCAACACATCTTGCCGTCATCCGGAGGAGAAAACTTTCACACAAACTACATATACCTTAAACAACAAGCCCCAACATTGACCACCAAGTGCTCACATCAAGTCTAACTCAACTTTTGAAATTAAAAAAATAGACACCACGAACGTCAGACCCTTTATAGTTTATATTATGTAGCTCTAGCATGAAGCCGCTCCCATCCCCCCTCCCACCCCCCATAATACTAGGCTGGTACGAAAGTTTTAGGGAGTAACGTGCAAGGGAAGACTAATGAACTTCACTGAAGTAAAGCAACACCTGGAGTAACATGATCACAACTTAAAAAATACTCGGTGGAATCGACAAGGCAAAAATAAAAGTGGACCTGGCACTTCCAGGACCCAATGAAGTCCTAGAGGAGTCCTAGCATGCCTCGGTGCCCCCAGGACCAATGACGGATTTGATATTTACCCATAATGATACTGTCCTGTAATATTTTGTTGAAAACAAAAATCCTTCGGAAACAAAATGAAACAGGAACATACCTTAAGCTGGTGGAGTTGTGTCCTGCGATGAGCTAAACAAAAAAAAACTTACCTATAATGACAGAAAAAGTAATTATTAATGAGCATTTTGAAATTGTTATATACATATTATAATCATATACCACATATATAACATGTGAATGGTCACATCCATCTCCATGTTCGTATGCAAAAGACAGAGACGTAGGTGACACTTGAGGATTCAGATGATACATACCTTCTCCTGAAGGAGGGTCGCGCTGTTCGTAGTCAAGGGGAGGGGGTCAGCGGTGTCCGTAGTGGGGTCAGACAAGGGGGTCCGCGGTGTCTGTAGTGGGGTCAGACAAGGGGGTCAGCGGTGTCCGTAGTGGGGTCAGACAAGGGGGTCAGCGTCAACACTACTCGTGACGTGCTCGCTAACACAAACAAAAGCTGGGCGTCCAACATTCACAGTGAATTAAATATCCAGTATGAGGAGAGAAACACTGCAAGAACTTAAGTACCCAACAAGTGCATAATTTTGCCACAGCAATACAGGCCAATTTCCACCTTTTATTTTCAGTAAATCACTAAACTTTCTAATAATTAACATTTAGTCACGTTAACATTTAGTAGCGGTGTGTCCTGCCTTGGTGTCTTGCGTATTCTTAACAAAGCACTTTCAGGAGTTTGCTAAACACGAAACTAATAATAAAAATACTTGCAACCGTAAACCGCAACACTGTAATTTGCTAGTCCACACAATAGTGCTAACAAGCAGTTTTTTTTAAATACCACATCAGTCTTCATTACTCGGTGTGACCGAACACTTGGGAAAATTTTCAGATTCACTTTAGAGGTGTCTGTCAGTCATCACAACACAGCCATCACTCGCCACTATTAATATCATACTGGCGGCTGGCCTGACCCACCGAACCCAGATGGACTTCCTTTCGAGTTTCCAATGAATTTGCTAATAAAACTATTTAAATCCAGGTGATGTTTCATCACAGCCTAGCATCAAAACATCGATCAAGTGCTTATTACTTCATGTGTTCGATTTTTTGCACTGCAGTAGGTATTTCGCGCTTTTAATTTAAATGCGAATAAATCAGCTGGTCCTTGTAAACACTGGCTGGGTTTATGTTGACCCCCGCTGCCGACTCACAGGTGGTGGCATACGACAATTTATAGAGCAGCTTCTTCCTTATTCCTCTTGTCAGGGCGGAGTGAGAAGCACTTTGAACTTTGGTACTTATTTGTACCTGTGGTACAAATGTACCAAAACGGAACAATGTGAAGCTATTATATTTTAAGGCACAGTTGAAACAATCTTTTAAGGATGACAGCTCGCGAACTTCTCGAAGATGACATTTCAGTCTTTATACTGCAACGTGTTATTGTTACGTCAATTGTGGTGACAATAAACATAGATAATAATAATATATATATATCTGGACGAACGTAGTGTACAGAAGTTTGCAGGTGAAGCCTGGCGAGTAATGGTGTGAGGGCGAGTAGAGTGCACGCTGAATATGAATGATGTTGAGGTTGTGGGATATCGCACAAGTGTCTGTACTGAACCAATCTTGAAGTTAGACTGACGATGATTAATTGATTGATTGATTGATGAAGATTAAGCCGCCTAAGAGGTGGCACGAACATGAACCGCCCGTA